TGACTTAGCACTTAATTAATTGGAATTTCTTATTCAAATCACCGTTTTTGAAGATTGTAAACTCATTCATTAGATCATTCTAGGTAGTACAAAATTTCCTCTGACTGTTCTATATATTAATGCTATTAGATTTTTTTTATAGTTTAATCTTAAACTTACTTTACATACATCCTTTTCGCAAACAATCATTTGGACCTAGTCGTGAATAAGTTTTTTTTTAATTTTTTTTTATTGCTTAGTTGAGTGGACGAGCTCTCAGTCCACCTGGTGTTAAGTGGTTACTGGAGCCCATAGACATCTACAAGGTAAGTGCGCCACCCACCTTGAGATATAAGTTCTAAGGTCTCGGTTAAGTTACAACGGCTGCCCCACCCTTCAAACCGAAACGCATTACTGCTTCACGGCAGAAATAGGCAGGGTGGTGGTACCTACCCACGCGGACTCTCAACAGGTCTTACCACCAGTATCCAATTAAGACAAGAACTATTAAGCTGTTTGAATCATTTCTGCATAACATCAAATTTAGTCGACGTTACATCATTTCATTCGTTATCTTTTGTATGTGAATTTTCGTAGAAGTAAAATGAGAATTTTTGTCTTGTTAATTTTTTTTAATTCATGGCAATTTTGCAGCCTTTATTGTTTGTCTCGAATTAGATTCTGGTTAAGTGTTGGAATTTAATTTAAAATAAGCACAAGACAATGAGGTATTTTAATACGTAGCCAGTTTGTTTTGTCGAGACTCCGAGAATATTTTTTTTACTTATTCCTTAGATGGGTAGACGAGATCGCAACCCACCTGGTGTTAAATAGTTACTGGAGTCCATAGACATCTATAACGTAAATTCGCCACCCACCTTGAGATATAAGTTCTAATAAGAATAACCCTCCAAAACGTCCGTGACCAAGAAAACTGTCCGAAAACATTCGCGATAGTAAAATTAAAAATAACAAATGGGAGCTTAAAGCGTAGTTTGGTTTTAATCACATCATGGTTTGTGGTAATGAAATCGTCTTGCTTCAACTTTGAAATTCAAGAAACCAAAACATAATTCCCGTGACTTAATCGATTTATTATTGATCCTAGTCTAAATCATTTGTTTTCTTAAATTAAACCAAAAGCAAACTTTCTCTGTGTCGCTCTGTGCAACGTCTATTGTGGCTAGCAATAGTCGCGTGAACCAGAGCACTAATCATAGGGCGGGGTCCGTATGCGAGCGTGCATTTAACGTTTATTATTATCTTTCGTCAATCTTCTATGATGATGTAACTTTAAATGGACCGTGTCTGAAGATTATAGAGTTAGATTTTATTTGTGTATTAAAATTGGGCAGTTCTCGTTACGTAGGAAGCACTAAATTGGATATGAAGATTATTATTCTTATTCGAAGTCATACTTGAGTTATCTGTGTTTTCTTTTCTTCATAGTAGTCTTGTGTTAGTCATAGCTTGAAACTCGTGTTCTTTGGTGGCGGGAGATATCCGACTTGATATAAATACGTGAATAGTTTTTGATTTCGGGATTCGTGCAAATAGAACAAGGCACATTGAGGTGTTGCGCATTTACGTTGTAGATGTCTATGGGCTCCAGTAACCACTTAACAACAGGTGGGCTGTGAGCTCGTCCACCCATCTAATCAATAAAATAAAATAAACTAGGAATGAAGCAAATTGACCAATTTTGTTTTTTCTTAAAAAACGATGTTTTTAATTTATTATATTTGTTTAGCAAAATTGGTACTTGCCTAGTGGGTTTGAATACACGAATTCAGTGGCATCGTCCTTTACGAATGCACCGGGCGTATTATTCTTCAGGCCACGATGCCCATAATCTATTCGTCTACTCTTTTTTTTCTATTGCTTTTATGGGTGGACGACCTCACAATCCACCTGGTGTTAAGTGGTTACTGGAGCCCATAAGACATCTACAACGTAAATGCGCCACCCACCTTGAGATATAAGTTCTAAGGTCTCGAGTACAGTTACAACGGCTGCCCCATCCTTCAAACCGAAACGCATTACTGCTTCACGGTAGAAATAGGTAGGGTGGTGGTACCTACCCGCACGGACTCACTTGAAATTTGACCGTAGCCTATCTCGTGAGCTGTTTCCATCTCGTCCGGTCCTCAGTTTCTCGAATGGCGGAAATTATATTAGCAAAATTGGTACTTGCCTACTGGCTTCGAACACGAGCTTAGTGGTATCGCCCTGTATACACCGGGCGTATTATCCTTCAGGCCACGATGCCCATAATCTATTCGTCTACTCATCCGAAAATATATCTTGTTCGAACGAATTACCGTCCAAAATGATATACTTAATTCTTACAAAATTATTCATTCATAAAAAAAAATTTATAGCATCATTGTTATGTGCACTTGAATCATTATATGCGCTTATGTGCGAATTGTTATATTCTTTTAATTATTTTTCGGAATACCAACATAGTTTAATAAACAGACCATTGTAAAATAGTTTACAAAGTACACATAAATTGCGTATTTAAGAGTCATGTTGGAATTATAAGTACGCTCTTTTTTTAGAATTTAGCCATTGGAACTTTGAAAATTTAATGACAGATTTAATTCAATGGGAGCAACTATATTTGATTGAATATAGTGGCATTTTGGGTGTGCTTAAAGACTTTTGACTATGTTTCTGTAGTCAATCGTCTGTGTGTGTATACGTAAAATCCGTTTCCAACTTACAACCACTTTACAATATCTTGTCTACTAATTATTTTCTCGAAACTATAATCATAGGTTGACTATTTTTAATACGCTTTTATTAGCTTCATGCCTATGTTAGTATGTAACGGAATCTTTGAACATGATTTTGACCCCCTTGAAAACGTCGGATTAACTCGAAATTTGGTATTATTAAGGACCGATGACAATTCAATATTTTAAACACTTTGATCCGTTATCCTTACTAGGATAATTAGGATTAGCGATTTTTCGTTTTCCTGAAACACGGAGTGTCTGCGTCAAGACCAAAAAGGGAAACTACCAGGCGCGCTAAAAATTGACAAATAAATAATAGTTTTAAAAAATTAAAAAAGACGCTTTCTTAAAAAGTCCAACTAAAAAATAGAAAATAAATTTTAATTAATTTGAATTAAAAATAGTGGAAGAAAAATTATTTTTTTGTAAAAAAAAGTGTGGGGTGCATGGTATCAATAGTTCTAAATATTTTGCTAATAACCTGAAAAGCACCCCATTTAGTTGGATTTTGTATAAAAGCATTTTTTTTTTACTATTTTTTATCAATAGTCAAAATCGATTTAGTGCTCTACAAGTTAAGGTAATCACTACTTTCAAATCGAATCCGAACAAGCATTTATTATGGATTCTAATTTAGAGAATCAGGAGACTTCACACTCGAAGTTACAAATAATATGGCAGTGAATTTCAAGGACCAGGCAACTAACTATGCTCTCATTCGTCGAACGCACACATTAAACCATACAAAATGAATTAATTCACGCTTCAATTGGCACCGCGCGCTGTTAATTAGAAGTACATGTATCGTGAGAGTCATAACCGTTGCATTGAATTGTATTTTTACACGAATAAGCTCCATTACAAATGCGTTTGGCATTCACTTGACTGTGCATTGTGTATTTGTAGCCGCTGTGTGATACTTTCTGTGAGATCTCATTGAGGATATGGTAGTAACGAACCACAAGAACTAGAATAAGGTTATGAAAAGATATGCTGTCAGAATGATTAATGAATGATTTGTAATAAAATTGTATTTTTATTGTATTTTTTTTTTTTTAAACAATTACGCCACATTAACTGGTCCCGTGATAAGTTTGTAAAGAACTTGTGTTACAGGTACCAGATAACGGAAATAAATGTAAGATTTTTTTATTATACACATACATATATTTAATATACATCCATAACCCTGGAAAAGACATTTATATTTACCATACAAATATCTTCCCTTGGCGGGATTCGAACTACTACTCCAAACATCTACTCCAAAACTTTAAAATTATCCTGTGCTAATCCTTAGCCAAATTATGCAGACAGTGGCTTTGTAGAAGCTAACTTAAGGAATTAGCTCACAACAATATTCCCCATGAAAACGTCATACGTCAACTGAAGTAATTAGAAGATGCAAGTCGCACATTTTGTATAAAAGAAGTTTATTTACCACATTACGTGAACGCAATCGGCCGAGAAGAATAAGAATTGGCTTCTTAAACAATAAGCAAACGAACCAGACTGCTGTAGGCTTAAAAGCTCTTTAAGTAGTTATTCTTTCTTCCAAAAACCTTTTTTTAAAATGATTAAAATATCACCACTAGGTTTTAAGTGGTTACTGGAGCCCATAGACATCTATAACGTAAGTGCGCCACCACCATGAGATATAAGTTCTAAGGTCTCAGTATAGTTACAGCCGCTACCCCACCCTTCAAACCGAAACGCATTACTGCTCCACTGCAGAAATAGGCAAGGTCGTCGTACCTACCCATGCGAACCCACAAGAGGTCCTACCATCAGTAATTACGCAAATTATAATTTTGCGGGTTTGATTTTTATTACACGATGCTATTCCTTTACCGTGGAAGTCAATCGTGAACATTACTTAAGTACGTATTTCATTAGGAAAATTGGTACCCGCCCGCGGGATTCGAACACCGGTGCATCGCTACATACGAATGCACCGGACGTCTTATCCTTTAGGCCACGACGACTTCAAATTTCCGTCTTTTCGAATATTTTACAGTTTTCCTGGTCACGTTTGCAGTTTTTAACTTTACAACGGTAGGCAGCGGTTTGGCTAACGGTAGGCAGCGGCTTGGCGAACGGTAGGCAGCGGCTTGGCTAACGGTAGGCAGCGGCTTGGCTAACGGTAGGCAGCGGCTTGGCTCTGCCCCTGGCATTGCTGACATCCATGAGCGACGGTAACCACTCACCATCAAGTGGGCCGTATGCTCGTCTGCCTACCCGGCAATAAAAAATAAAAAAATAAAACATTTTTTTTAGGATAAGCAGAGGCCACCGGTGTACAATCCTGAGGACTACGCGACCTCACTGAAGAAGTGGGGCAAGAAGGCCGGCGCCGCGTCGCTCTACGAAGTCGACACTACACAGGAGATGAATAAATCCAGAACTCTACCCAACCCGAACAGAAAAGACTTCAGGTACCTAACTGATTGGACATATCCATATTTAGGGTAATTTAAGGCTTTGAGATAAAGAGAAAGAAGGAGGATCGATGTTTTTTTTATTTATTGCTTAAATGGGTGGACGAGCTCACAGCCCACCTGGTGTTAAGTGGTTCCTGGAGCCCATAGACATCCACAACGTTAATGCGCCGCCCACCTTGAGATATAAGTTTTAAGGTTGGCTAAGTTACAACGGCTGCCGAAACACATTACTGCTTCACGGCAGAAATAGGCAGGTCGGTGGTACGTACCCGTGCGGACTCACAAGAGGTCCTACCACCAGTAATTACGCAAATTATAATTTTGCGTGTTTGATTTTTATTACACGATGTTATTCCTTCACCGTGGAAGTCAATCGTGAACATTTGTTGAGTACATATTTAATTAGAAAAATTCGTACCCACCTGCGGGATTCGGACCCCGGTGCATCGCTACATACGAATGCAGCGGACGTCTTATCCTTTGGGCCACGACGACTTCTATGTTAAGGTTTTAATCGTTTCGCGTCTTTATACCACACAATTGAGGCTTTGATCGCATGTCTCAGGGAGTGTGATGGAATTCACTCTAAGCTGTACCCAATAAATACGGCATACTTAATGCCATTTAATCAAAATAAGAGTTAGATTAGAAAGAATAAAAGGAAAGATCTAAATAATAATAAATGAATACTTCGGGACTCATATATGTGTATGTACGTGACCTGATAAGTGCTATTTTTATTTACAGAAACCCAAGCATGAGTCTGGGCGAGGAAATGAGTCTACGCCAATTCGGGTCCCCGAGCGAGTTACTAGTGAAACTACGCGCCGATCTGAGACTTTCCTTCCCAAGGTAAACGTTGATAGCGATTTAAAACACGATTTCCATATAAAATTACCCACTATAAATCGTTAAGCCGTTCATAAAATATCATTGAAGTAGTGTGGCGCAAGTTATGAGCGGACAAAACGAATTCGAAAGTAGGTTATTTTAAGAAAAATCTTATACCTTTAAACGAGCAATTCTTGTATATTAATATATAATTATATAATCTGAATCTCGGAAACGGCTCCAGCGATTTTCATAAAATTTAGTATACAGGGGATTTCGGAGGCGATAAATCAATATAGCTTCGCTTTATTTTCAATAATGTTGTATTATTCGTGTTTTCAATAATCAATTCTTCCCGACATCTATTGGCGAATAATAATACTATTTTTCTTAATTGAGGGCAACTAACCGCTTTAAAGACACAACAAGATGGCGTTATCAAAAAAAAAAACGAGCAAAGCTCGGTCATTGTCTAGTCTTTATTTGCATTGAAAACTCATTTGTTGAGACCTTGTATATTAAGAATTGTCATGTTACTAACAGAATATTGATATGGGGTACACAGTAAATGTTTCAGAATAACTTAAATGAAAAGAATATTATACGCTATAAAAAAAAATATTGCCCATGTAGGCAGACGAGCATACGGCCCACCTGATGGTGAGTGGTTACCGTCGCCCATGGAATTCAGCAATGCCTCGTTTAAAGAAGGACACGACTTTAAATGTCACTTCTTTGATTACGAAACATCGCATTAGTCTTTGCCTTGTGCTATAAAAAACAAAGATACAAAGGTAGCCCAGTGAAAATATTAGTAGGGATGTCAGTATCATTAATTTTACTAAAATATGGTTTCAGAAAATAATATTATATACTAAAATTGGTAAAACTCACTCCGTGATAAACGAACGCCACGGAAAATTGAAGCAAAACTAAAAAAGTGTCGTGTAATTGCTCCAGTGGTTGCCTCACCTCTCACAGTTTAGAAATTCACATTATTGAACCGGTAATGAAGGAAGAATCGGTGGCACCATCTAGCCGGTCTTCGCTTATCCCTCCAGCTACAGTTCGATGGTCTGACCTGGGGTTCTTAGGTATAGGATGGCAGCGGAACATGAGTTTCGCGTGAAACATACCGTCTTATTTAGGTTTTCTTCTTCTTCTTAATTTTTTATTGTACACACAGTTAATACAATACAATAATTGCGAAAAGTTATAAAATGGCGAGCTTAACTCAACAGTTGAGTTATCTACCAGCTAACCGTTCTTAAAGAGGGAGAGCTTTACATAGGTGGGTAGAAGAGTACAATCTAATCAATTTACTTATTGATGCAATATACAATACCAATAAAATTATTAAAAAAAACAGTAATACATAATATATCAGACTATATACATACACAATTACACACATAAATAACATAAACATATATTACATACACGTACATTTATAATGAAATACATAAAATAAATACATATAAGTAATACTAAGTCGATAGATAGTGCTCTTTTAATGCCTTCCTGAATACTTCAAGTGAGGGGCTTGCACGGATTGAGTGCGGAACTGAGTTTTGTTCTGTTTCAATCGACGTTCGGACGCGGATTGATAAAAAACGAAGAGTTCTAAGGATGAACTCCGCTACCCCCTCTACGAACCCCTCACATGTCTGTTGCGAGAACTGCGACTTGACAACGCGACCGACGTTGGAACCAGAGCACTGAGTTCTTCCTGGGTCTTCTCGGTTGGTATCGATTCCGACTTGGTGGTAGGTTCAACGAACCTCTGCTCTTGCCAGGGTTAGTGTTAGCAAAGTCTCCCAAGCTGAACCTCGTGAACTCGCCTAAGCGTTCGGTAATGCTAACATAACTCCTCTCGTTAGGCTCTGACCATAGGCAGGATAACAAATGTGGAATCTTTGTCGGCTGTATTGCCAACACAAAACGAATAAAAGGACAAAATAAATTTTAAGTTATTAAATAGTCGATAAAGCTTATGAATTAAACACCTCTGTTTCGCTCTCAACGATTTGGAGACTATAGTAAACCTCTAATAACCTACCTGTAAAATATAGATGGAAATATTTTGTTCGTTTTTATTAACGACATTAAAATTCTTCAATTACACAAAACTCAATAAACTCTTTAGTTGGCATTATTAGAGCGATTTCTTTAAATACCAATACAATACCTATCATGCTGTCGCAAAACAATAATATGTTCCGATTTGACAAAAACAGCCGTTGAGACTATTGCTCCGTATCTTTAGACGTTTCGTAAAATAGTCCTCCACTCTTAACTCATCCGATGATGCTCGAGCATTCCTCCCAAACTTACTCGAGTTTGGTATTTTTAGTCGACAATACAATATTCCTCTACTGTCCTTGAGTGAGGTAGAGTCGTGTTATTGCGTCACCACGACAACATCAGTTTGGGGAAAATTTGATCAAGCTAGCATCAAACCCATAGAGTTCTGTAGTCTATGGTCATTGTTTAATGTCAAAGTCAAGCTGCCACTGTCTGTTTGATACTAGAAGCATTGAACTTGTTTGATGTTTTAGTTGCTGAGTTATTCGTAAATATGTGTGCATGCGGTAAATTTGAAAGTGTATTATTTATTTTTTAACCCATTATTATTTTAAATTTCGGACCCGGTTTTGTATTTTTATTCGCCGTATTTGTGTGATTTTGATTGCATCGTGTTGTTGCAGTGCTTTTCCTCAACCACCAGTTTATTATTATATAAATAAAACATATAATCGCATTGACTTTATTTATTAGGTAGTAAGCAAAATATGACTCTTATGTAGGTAAATAAAATAAGGAGTTTCAAATATCTAACCACGAGTCTAAACAAGAGGGGTGACGCAATAACAGGACTCTACGTCACTCGAGGACAGTTGAGGAATATTGTATTGTCGACTAAAAATACAAAACTCGAGTAAGTTTGGGAGGAATGCTCGAGCATCATCGGATGAGTTAAGAGTGGAGGACTATTTGACGAAACGTCTAAAGATACGGGCATAAGCATACCAAAACGCGCGTTGGAGGTTGAGTCGAGTCGAGTTAAGCTCGTGTGAACGACTAAAGATACGGGCGTACGACCTCAGGCCGCAAGAAGAGGTTCAGGAGGACATTCAAGTTGTAATGCCTATGAGCTTGGTTCACCTGAGTGAGTTTGTTCACCAATCTGAACGGGTAATACTAAGTGTGATCTGAGCATATCAAATTGAGACATTAAATCAATATAGTAGATTGGGATACACTAAGAGACAAGCTCGCCAAACACCCAACGCTTTATCGAGACTTTTGTCATAGCATGAATACTGCTTTGAGACAGTAAGAACAACAGAATTGATTTAAATAAACAAGGCTATTTACATGAAATTTCAATCTGAATGATCAATACATATAATTTGTTTTTATGAGTGGACGAGCTCACAGCCCAGCTGGTGTTAAGTGGTTACTGGATCCCATAGACATCTACAACGTAAACGCGCCACCCACCTTGAGATATAAGTTCTAAGATCTCAGTATGGCTACAACGGCCGCCCCACCCTTCAAACCGAAACGCGTTACTGCTTCACGGCAGAAATAGGCAGGGTGGTGGTACCTAGCCGTGCGGACTCACAAGAGGTCCTGCCACCAGTAAAAAATTTGCATTTCCATTCCTAAAATCAGTCAAAATGTTACCCTAAATGTTTTCGTAGAAGCTATACGTTTGCGAAAAATGATAAAAAAGAAATTGCACATAAAAACCCTTATTACGGAGCTGTCGTCATTTCAACTTTGCGTTTCGCGCGATTTTAACGCGGGCCACGACCACAGGAGGAAGCGGGAGCGAGTTACCATATTTCAACTGTGCTTTCCTAGTCGAATGAACTGAAGCTTAAAACCTGCGGGCATATTTAAGCAGCATATGCAGGCAGCGGCTTGGCTCTGCCCCTGGCATTGCTGAAGTCCATGGGCGACGGTGACCACTCACCATCAGGTAGGCCGTATGCTCGTCTGCCTACGAGGGCAATAAAAAAAAATTCAAAATCATTTCATTGTCATTGAGTATGCTTACTAAAAGGTAAAACAAATACTCTCCGGTCTCAAGAAATGCCAGTCCTGAACTGAACTAGCAGACTAAGCTCAGTGGTCTTCTCTGTTTTGTATATTATTGAAGTGAAGCTTCTTTAGGTGCTGAGAAAGCAAAATTTAACTCGCGACAGATTCGTTACGGTTAGAGAGAAAAGATACAACTTAGCACGAGCGAGGGTGAGAAAATAGAGTTTCGCGAACCACTCGACCGTGAAGAGAGGGAGCAAGCGTCATCCTTTCTCACACATTTTGTTTACGGGCATCGGCAACTAGATGGCTTTTTATTCGTTTCTCATTGCTCCTGTAGATGGCAGTAGCATATCAACTATCTTATTGTATTTGTAATGAAGGATTTAATTTTTTTTCTATTATTATATGAATTAAAATTTAAAGAAATTGTGAAAAGGTTTCTCTTATACACAGCATTCCCTATTACAAGAGAAATTTGGTTTAAGGATGAAAAATGAAAAAAACCATAATACTACAAACCGCAAAAGAAGATTCACTTCTTTCACGTGCGCCAAGTTGCACGCTCACCTTTTTACTAAAAATAAAAATTGTTGATAATTACGGTTTGTGTTTGTAACAACTTTTATATAAATATATACTATAACGAAAGTTTTTGAATAAATACAGTGAAATCATTCGAAACACCGTCAGCTTGATTTAATTATCGCTGTGTCGGCCGTCAGCATAGAATTTATACAAAAGTTTAGCTCAGACCCTTAAATCGAATACAATTAGTAACTATGCCCCCCCTCGTAGGCCCCTCAGGCCGACTCGCGGCGTTCGGTGACGACCAAAAGGCAGAGCTGCTGGCCGATACATTGCAAACCCAGTGCACCCCCAGCAATCAATCCGCAGACCCCACGCTCGAGAACAGATCTTCTTTACCACCCTCAGACGCGTTACCACCCGTTATCCCGATAGAAGTTAAAGACCTAATCAAATACCTATGTCCTCGCAAGGCCTCCATTTCCGACGGCATATCTATTAAACTTCTACCAACCCAACTCATCGTGATGTTTGCAACTATTTTCAATGCCGCTATGACGAACTGTATCTTTCCCGCGGTGTGCAAAGAAGCAGACGTTATCGGCATACATAAACCCAATAAATCGACAAATTATCCGAAGAATTACCATCCGATCAGCCTCCTCATGTCCCCAGACTAACTGTACGAGCGTCTGCTCTACAACCATTTATTTCTACAACCATCATCAATTATGTTTAAAGACACTATTCTCATCCACTTCGTGGCCAAACGAATAACACTTTCTTAAATTACTCTAACCGCTCCTGTGAATCCTGTAGTCGAGTTATTTTTTTGTCTTCAAATTACACGGCAACACTTACTTGGAAATTGTAAAGATACCAGCTCTCGTTTGTAATGGAGTTTATTTTGTTTATGCATTTTTTTTGTTCTTTTTTGTGTAATCAAAGTTTTGAGATTAAACGTATTTAGCCCTTTTCCGGAGCACACCTTTGTTCAGAAAGCATATTATACTTTTTAGATATTATTTTTGCATTAACAACACGATCAGTAATAAAATACTTATCTTAAACTGACCTCAAGATGAGATTCTCAAGTCGGATACATTATCAAAATCCAAAAATTTACACTAGAGAATAGAATGGGCGGTTGGCCTTATTTATCTTAGACCATAGACACAGCCCACTGAGTTTCTCGCCGGATCTTCTCAGTGCGTCGCGTTTCCGATCCGGTGGTAGATTCTGCGAAGCACGGCTCCTACTTGGGTCAGTGTTAGCAACATTTCCGGTTTGAGCCCCGAGAGCTCACGTACAAGCTAGGGTAACGCTGATATAGCCTCTCAAGCCTATCAGCATAAGGAGATTTAAAAAAAATCCGATCACAACTATCCGACATGATCTGCCGCGTATGTGTTACCTTTCCTTTCAAACCCACCATACTACGAAAACACAAGTTTTTTGATAACAGCTAAATTTGCTTTCATTGTTCGCAGTTTCGTCCAGGAGTTCGCCTGTGAGCCTCTAGATGGGGTCAGTCTGCTTCTGGAGCTGCTGCGGAACGTTCAGCTTAGTCAGTCCGGAGAAGGAGCTAGAGGACCTCCAGCTGTGAGGAGACGGCCACTGCTGGATGAACTGGCGTGCTTGTAAGTAATCCCGGCACTGGAGCTGGACTATAAGGTGGAATCTTTTTTTCTTTTTCTTTTTTTTTTCTATTTATTCGCTGCTAGCTTATGAGGCTATTCCAGCCACGCCCGGAGGGGTGGGTGAACTCACGGGCTCAACCTGAGAGAATTTGCTAACACTAGCCCTAGCAAGAGCAGTGCTTCGCAGAATCTAGCACTGGATCGGAATCGCGACCCACTGAGAAGTTCCGGCGAGAAACTCAGTGGGCTGAGTCTATGGGTAAGACAGGAACCGAAGTCCTTATTGTAGAATTGCTGCTATATATTTCATTCATGCTATATGCATGGCTAAATTATTTCGTTAATTATTTTGAATATTGGATAATAAATTTAAAAATGTGAATGATTTTGCATGCATATTAATAGTGTAAATTTTTTTGGTATGAAAAGCAAGAAATAAAAGGCTTTTTTATTTATTTATTTTTTTTATTTTTTTATATGCATGGCTATCATAAATTATTTAATTAATGTATCCTACATTCAGGCAAATACAACAGTTTCCAGTTTGCTAAGTGAAAAAAAGAAGGCGCTAAAATGAATTTGTTGTTTTGACTGCCGAAAGTAAATAATGGGTCTGTTTAAAATATTGAATTGTCATCGGTCCTTGATAAGTATGTCGAATTTCGAGTTAATCCGACGTTTTGAAGGGGGACAAAATCATGTTCAAAGATTCCGTTACATACTACATACTTGGAAGCTAACAAAAGCGTATTAATGTTTATATTTATTATTATATTTAATATTTTCTTACTTTCACAAAAACAAATGCACCTACCACAGAACTCTCTACACCACCCTTGGTTGCTCGGTAGGGACCGCCTCGGACATTAAGTCCGCTATTGTACCTTAGTGCATTACTACATAGTATAAAACAAAGTCGCTTTCTCTGTCCCTATATCCCTATGTATGCTTAAATCTTTAAAACTACGCAACGGATTTTGATGCGGTTTTTTTAATAGATAGAGTAATTGAAGAGGAAGGTTTATATGTATAATAACATCCATAAAATAGTGGAGAAATCAATAATAAATTACAGTTTCCGAAGCGTAGCGAGGGCGGGTCGCTAGTAAATAAATAAATTATGAAAGAAGAATACAGACGTTTGGTCCTTTACCCGCAGACAGTGTCTATGGAGTTGCTGCCATCGATACCCTGATGGTGTCAGGAGACTCGTGGCAGGCCCCAACGGAGCTTATACTCTGACAGTCTGCATTATGTCTACTGTTAACAAATCCAGGATATTGGCATTGCAGGTAACGTTTTTTGGCATCCCGCCATGAGACCAAAGTCTCTAAAGTATTTTTTTTATTGCTTAAATGGGACGAGCTCACAGCCCACCTGGTGTTAAGTGGTTAGTGGAGCCCATAAACATCTACAACGTAAATGCGCCACCCACCTTGAGATATAAATTCTAAGGTGTCAGTATAGCTACAACGGCTGCTTCACCCTTCAAACCGAAGCGCATTCCTGCTTCACGGTAGAAATAGGCGGGGTGGTTGTACCTACCTGTGCGGACTCACAAGAGGTCCTACCACCAGTATTTTTGCGTTAGAATAATCAATTTTGTACTGTGTCCTTGATCTTCCCCAGCTCCTAACAAAAGCCTGCTACCCTCCAGCAAATGGCCACAGCATGATATCCGAAGCCCTATCCACGTTGCGTCTTCGTTACGGAGAGCCGGTCCGCTTCAGGTTTTTAGTCGGAATGCTGCAGAGCACTGGAGGCTCTGGTGAACTTCAGGCAGCCGGGTTAGCCTTCATCAATGGACTGCTGATCAGCACTCCGACTCCTCAGAGGAAGTTGTACATCCAGGCCGAATTGGAGCAGGCCGGTTTTGATATCGTCACTCTGAAGAAGGTGAGTTGTTTTTTTTCTTTCAATGTTTTTGTATATAATTTATTAGAACAATATAACGTGATTATTCATAATAATATGCAACTGCCATTTTCTTTATTCTGAATAAATATTACGAAAGAATGGAGGAACCTGCTACTGTTGCCTGGCATTGCTGATGTCCTTGAGCGACGACATCCACGCACCATCACGTGGGTCGTGTGCTCATTTGCTTCTTAAAGTCATAAAAACGGGCTTTCTTTGCTAGATGTGTGCTTTTCTGTGATCTGTAAAGTTACTCTCTCCCCCTTTCTCTCTCTCTCTCTCTCTCTCTCTCTCTCTCTCTCTCTCTCTCTCTCTCTCTCTCTCTCTCTCTGTGTGTGTGTGTGCGTGTNTGTGCGTGTGCGTGTGTGTGTGTGTGTGTGTCTCTACATATTATTTAATAATAACTTTAGATTTACTTTCATTCCAGATGGCAGCGAAACTTCAAACTCCCAATGACCTAATATCGAAGGAAATTGAAGCATACGAAAAACAATTGATAGACATTGACATACTAAGCGAAAAAGCGAACGTGGCTCAAAAAGAGAAAGACGCTCTTCGATACAAGCTAGACTTGCTCGAGAAAAGAGTTAAGGTTGAGATCTAATATCGAAACTTTAAATGACCATATACCAATATAATAATAATTAATGTCCTAAAAAACAAACATGAAATAATTGCATTACTAATTAAATTTATAAACCGTTAGCCGCTCCACTTAATGTTTATTCTTAATGAATCATCATTAAATAAAGAGCAATAGAGAGAGGGCTGTTCCCTGCGAAATCGAATCAGGAATAAGGGGCCAACCATAAATAACGTCACACGAATTTTAGGACTTTTGACCTTCCCTCGTCCTTGTCACAGGTTGTCACATTTTTGTGACCCCCCCCCCCCCCCCCTATCAACGTGTGACGTAATTTATGGATGACCCCTAAGGTGATTCGCAGAAACAGTAATGCGTTTCAGTTTGAAGGGTGGGGCAGCCGTTGTAACTATACTTGAGACCTTAGAACTTATATCTCAGGGTGGGTGGCGCATTTACGTCGTAGATGTCTATGGGCTCAAGTAACCACTTAACACCAGGTGGGCTATGAGCTCGTCCAACCATGTAAGTAATAAAAAAAAAAGAGTGGATGGCCCCTGGGGCCGAAAAGTTTCGATCAGCGACCACGCCCCGTAAGGCTTAACGTAGATAGGCCTCCACGAGGTGGACTCACGAAATGCTAAAAAAATTGACGGAGACCCGCTGGATGTGGGCTGGGCAGAACCAGTCATTTGGGCTAATCTTGAGGAAGGCCTATGTCCAGTAGTGTACCTCTTTGACAGCAGATACAGAATACAGACGGGATATTTTTTTTGTTACGATTGTTTATTGGCTTTTAATAGTCACATAAAAAGACTAGCCGTACTCGCCCGCTTCGCTGCGCATTTAAAATGAACATTATTATTTATTGTCATTATTATTAGGGAGTCCAACACTCATATAAATATTAGCCTATCCATTAAGTACATGTATTTTCTACACTGATACCAGGTTTCAAGTCAGTCGGATGCATGGTTCAGTAGTTATAAAGGAACATCCGTAAGAACCACTGTAGATTTATATATTAGTATAGATAAACCTAAATACAGCTAATAAACTAATAAAAAATCGAAATCATTTGAAATAAACATGTTACAAATCATCTAAAATAGTTTACATAATATACTGAACAATGAAGTCAATATTCTCAGTTGCTATAATGATATAATACCAACACTAGCTTTGTGAGAAAGAGACAGATTGATAGCCCCCTTTCAATCCCTATCCTAACCTGCAATTTGTACCAAAAAACTCACGTAACAATTTCGTGATTCACTACAGTTTTTGATGTACCCTAAAAAAATCAAATAGCACAAAAAGAAATACAACAGCAATAAAATATTTAATTACAGATCCTGCAAGAAGAAAAAGGTATACTTTTATCCTTGGAAAAATGCCTGAAGGAGAAATGCTGTGAGCTGCAAGAGGAGGTGTCTTCGTTAAGATCTGAACACGGAAATTCCAATCGAAAAAAAAGTTTTTCAACGAAGAAAAAAAACTCGGTTCATAAAAACAGAGGTAGGTAAATAATACAGTAAGGTGGTGGTCCTATGACAATTTTTTATATAGATGCCGTGGTCTAGACACTGCCCACGGCCGGACTTGATACATAATAGTCTCGATTACATTAATGTTTTATTTATTTATTTTTATTGCCTTTGTAGGCAGACGGGCATACGGCCCACCTGATGGTGAGTGGTTACCGTCGCCCATGGACTTCAGCAATGCCAGGGGCAGAGCAAGCCGCTGCCTACCGCTTAATACTCTCCACAAGCCTCGTTTGAAGAAGGACATGTCATAGCGCTCGGGAAACACCGTGGAGGGGAGCTCATTCCATAGCCGGATGGTACGGGGCAAAAAAGACCTCTGGAAACGCACTGTGGATGACCGCAGTGGCTCCAGGTAGTATGGATGAACTCTACTCCGGTGGCGGGCGGTGTTTCCTACCCTCTGTGTCAGTCATGTTGGAGAGAGGGGGTTGCGGTAGGTGTTTTTCTTTTTAGAGGCCCAAATTGTCGCTAAGATTGGAGAGGCCTATGTCCAGCAATGGACGTCTGTGGGCTGAAAGATAGAAGATAATAATATATCTTACGATAAATCTAAATAATCATTGGTTGTAGATGAGTCCTCACCACCGGAAGACGAAGGCATCAGCTCATCAGAAAGGTCACTAAGTCCTGATGGAGATCCCCAAAGAGACTCCATGGTATACGAGATATTTAATATCAAAAACGAAACCTTTGACATGATACGCAACAAACGCATTCTGCACAAGAAAATTGAGAACAAAAAGACCGAATCAAAGAAGTCACTGGACGACGAAGACGAAACTACTATAGAAGACGTTATACAAGAACTCAGAAATATTGTTAACAAAGCTGAAACAGAGCAATACGCTAAAGACATCAACGATGACAGATCATCAAGGTGCAACCAGAATTCGGAAATCAGTATTCCCATAAACAACATAGACCGCAAGAACCACAGTGAAGAAAAAGAAGACTCGATCACCAGCACAAGACACAGCATACAAATAAGAAACGGCACTGATTGTTCAGAGGATAACTTCGAAGATGACCAGGAGGCTGTAATCGTTCCGAGCAAAATCGTGCCTCATCCGCCGCGGAGAGCTAAGAGCTTGCTTCATTTGTTCACCCCACCGGTCGACCAAGGGTTACTGTACAATAAACCACCCCCAGATATATACGACGAGCATTTCTATTCCAGCGACGAGGGTTCGGATTCATTGCTCAGCTCGTCCCGGTGTCAAGGTCAGAACAGCAAAAAGGATTCGATTAACAGTTTCGATTTCAAGGAATGTCGGGCAGTCTTTAGTTCTACGGTTGAGAAAGACAAAGACGTGACCAGAACTAAGCGATCTAAGGCCCGTTCGAGAGACGAAAGTACGAAGACTTCGGTGAGAAGAAGCGAATCATTTCAAGCCTCAGAAAAAGGGTCCCGACAGCGAGAGCATATCGACAACCTCTTCAATCACGAAACAAATACGTCTAATAGAATTACACCCCAAAGATCAAGCAGCCGGGTCGACGAAATCGTCAGTTTGATAGAATCTAAGAAACTAACCAAAAGTCTGGATAGGATCGATGAAGGCCTGAACACAATGGTCGATATAGTCCTCCTAGATGAGCCCAAAAAGCCTGTCTGGCCTTACGAAAGACGGCAAAGATCCTGCTCTAGGACCAGCAGTGAAGTCGGGAACGAATCTCCCTTAGTTCCCGTTACCAGATCCACTAGCAAGCCGACTAACTTCCTGAAATACGACACGCGATCGTCCAGCAACAAACAAGAGTCATCTAAAACGGAACCCAACCAGAAATTTTACTTACCCGGCGCTAAATTCACCACGGGAGGTTTCGAAAATCAACCATTCAACAGTTCCACCTTCTTAGTGAAACGTGGACACTCAAATACCGGGTTTTACAGTGGAAATCACATGTTGAGAAACGCACCGGCCAGCATGACGAGTCTGGTCGGCAATGGACACGCGGATTTAAAGAGGACCTTGTCTCCAATGGGTTCGGTGACCAATTACGGAATCCACAAATTCGCGGACATGCCTTCCGGGCTGTATTAGTAGCTGTAATTACGCGTAATGGAAACCATCGACTAATTTAAGTACCTTATTATTTTTGTTTAGTGCAATATTACCCAAAACGGGAAGCTATTTAAAATGTGTGTTTTGAACGAATTATATTTGTAATTAATTTGTAGAAAAAGTTATTCTCAGTATTTCATGTAATATTCCACATAAGATTAGCTATTTTCGAAAGGAAATACTGTCGTCCAAAATTGGAGGAATAGAATAAAAAAACCTTCGTATCCGTTCTTTGGATAGTGCAGGGTATTGGAGCCAATCCGAAACGAAAACTTAGTAGTGAAGTAAGAACACAAGACATTATAAAAACATTGAGTGTATTACATATTTATTTAGCCAAGTTTTTCGCTTAGCGCGCTATGGAACTAAAACTGCAATGGAAGGTCGAGGGAGGAGAAGGGGATGGAGGGAGGAGAAGCGGAGAGAGAGAGGGGTTAAATTACGTTTTTTGTACATTGCGGTTTCGGCATCACGAGAACATAACACCTTTTACAGCTTGAGTATATTTATTAAACGTATTTTGTATCTTAGTAATTTTGTTGATTAGCAAAATTTGCTTAAGATCACCGTAATCACACTGCCATCTCCGAATAACATTTACTATGTAATTCTTGCAAACAAATGCATGTAACCTCATAATTTAATAAGATTCATACTACCGATTTAAGTTTTTGTTTATCTTGTGCAATCGCAACGATCACTGCCATCTTGGAACAAGTTTTTTTTTTCTTCTGTACTGTACATAATTATACATGTAATGGAATTATTTTATAATAAACAACGACAAACTTTTGTTGTAGTTTGATTTTACATTTTGTTAATCGTTGTGATTCTTGAATTTTCAATCACAGATTTCAGGACCCCTTGACAAACTATTAAGTAAACACACTTTAGGGCGGTAGTTGAAGGACTATGAGTCCTAGAATACTTAAGTGAAATTAGCAATTGAACATTTGAAGAACTTGTTGCGATATTAAGTACTGATTATAGAAATTTAAAACTTAAATAGCTTTGAATTTACTGATATACGTACCGTAAAATGGGGCGATTAGGGACAAATTCCAACTTTATGAGCAATTTTAAGGTAGTTGTTGATGTATATAATGCTATATCAGGATCAAAACGTTTGAGTCTTGGGGGCATCTTTGTTGTCTAATTTAAAATTATACAACTAGCATTCCAGTTTAAGCAAAAAATGCAAAAATAGGTGTAATCCCTATTTACCCGAAAATTGCGGTTAATTGGGACGAAATGAGAAATTTGCTAGGGTTGGCACTACTTTTATTTTTATATATAGTTTTAATTTATTTATTTATTTAGTTGCACCAACAAAGTGATCATCAATAAAAAAAAATGAAAAACTGACAAAAGTACATGGCAGACATCACCTCAATTATAGGTGCATTCGACAGTGCATTAACAACAATATATATATATTTATACATATATAGTGGGCTTTCTTAGAAACGGTCTATATTTCTCCGTTCTTGTTCTTGGTAAGTAGTTAGGGGCTGATATTTCTATCTAGGTTAAGAGATTAGGTGTGTCGGTTATTCCATGGATTAATCAGATGAATACCCCCACTCTGAACAAATATTAAATATTTTATTATGTATTACTTAGACATTTTTGTCCACCTTGAGATTTCATTGATCTTGTTACATGTCTCTGCAAAATCGACTTACTTATATTAAATTGCTTATCTATTTCAACTAAAGACTTATTCCCAATTTCGCTTCGAATAAACCAGATTTTTACCAACAAATTTAAAAAATATTGTTATAACTACATAGACAACCCTGCAAACCTGTACCTATTTATACTTAGGTCGTTTCCATTTCACGTATTCTCATCCCAATTGACCCCTTTTTCGTTGTTATTTGTACCTAAGACGTCCCCAAAATCCCCAAAAGCAACAGATTTTTACATGTATTTTTATTTAATAAAATACATTAAAACCAATAACAACTGAGACTTACCTTTTATATACAGTCGTGGTCAACTAATTAGGGACAATCTCTAGTTAAGCCAAATTGTGAATTTTTTTTTTATTTTCCAACGAGTCTTAGCAATATTCCATATCTTTTACATGTAAGTGTAATTAGTCATTTATGTGCGCGATTATACAAACAATAACAACTTCTTAAACATTAAACCTCTTTACAGTATAGCTGATACAATATCATAGTGCTATTGGTTCAAAGAATGCTGGCTGGCCATTTAATTAGGGACACTGAGGTATTGCGTTCTAATTTCAAAATTGGAATTTTAATACTTTTTTGTTTCTTTTCTTATTGTTTAGTGGTCCTTTTTGCCGCAATCCAGATTCTTTATTTTAAGTTTTGAGAAATATTTTGAAGAAAAATGGGCAAAAATAAAAGTTGCGATCCAACACTACGATAAATTATCGTTATCGTTAAAAATAAAAGTTTATCGAGCGTGGTTGGTCATACCGAAGGATAGTACAACATTTAAATTGTTCAAAAACTATGGTATGCAATGCAGTGCAACATTTCAAGCCCTATAACACATCTTTAAATGTGTCCAGAACAAAAAGATCGAGAAAAACGACTCCGCAAGAAGATAGAATGATAACCAGGTTAGCTAAGAAAGATCCGTTTCTAGGCTCTTTTTTAATTAAACACGAAGTGTTTGGGGCCAACGAAAGAGCCGGTGTATCTGCGAGGACCGTTCGACGACGTTTGGTAGAAGCAGGGTTGTTCGGAAGAGTGGCTCGCAAAGTACCGTTGTTGAAGAAACAACATAGAAATGCTCGTTTGGCATTTGCACGTAAATATGGACATTGGACCTACGCCCAATGGCAACATGTACTTTTCTCTGACGAGACCAAGGTTAATTTGATTTCTTCAGATGGAAGACAATATGTACGGCGTCCTGTAAAAGCGGAAATGAATCCAAGATTCACAAAAAAACAGGTGAAACATGGCGGTGGAAACATTAAAATATGGGGTTCATTTTCTGGACGTGGAGTGGGGCCTGTGAGGAAAGTTCAGGGTAACTTAGACCAACATCAATACAAGGCAATATTGGATGAAATTATGCTTCCCTATGCTGAGGAGCATCTCCCTATTATATGGACGTTTCAGCAGGATAACGACCCGAAACATACCGCCCATTCAGTCAAGTCGTTTCTTACCAGTCAGTTTGTATCGGTGCTAAATTGGCCAGCAAATAGCCCGGACCTCAACCCGATTGAGCACCTTTGGCATGAAATCAAGAAAAAAGCTGCCACTTATCGTAATACAAATTTGGATGAACTTCATGAAGCTTTTTGTGAGGCATGGGCAAACATTCCTGTCGAAACATGTCAGAAACTGATAATGTCTGTGCCACATCGGTGTCAAGCGGTAATTACTAACAAAGGTTTTGCTACTGGGTACTGATTTTACACGTAATATAAGATTATAGATTATAAGTTATAAGATTATAAGAAGATTATAAGTTTTGTGTAACTGTATTTTTCATTATAGTTTACTGTCCTTAATTAAATGTCCACTACAGAATTGTACCTTAATATTTAATACATGTTTAATCTTTGATATTAAATACTTTTTCTATTTATTAAATCTTTTATTTACAGCCATTTATAGCATAATAATCGGATCACATTTTGCAAATAATAGGTGTTGAGAAATCAATAGGGTTTTATATTTAAATGTACATAACCGGTTATAGCCCTTCACTATCTTAAATGTCCCTAATTAGTTGACCACGACTGTATATGCTGGTTCAAACACTAAATAACGTTTATAAATCATAGTCGTCTTCTATTATTATCAAATAAATAAAAGAGAGCAAAGTTTCTAGGACTAAAGTAATTACCACCACAGGAAGTTAATTTGAAACGCGATTTTTTATAAGTTATCAGCTATTATCATGCATATTCAGAGTTGTTTTGTGAACTTTCAACATTCTACTATTAAACTACAAAAAATGGAAGATTTTGCAACGAATATAAAACTTATATTGAGCGTCGAAAGATTTTCCCGGTTTTTTCCCGATTCGCCTCTCAATCCCTAATCGCCCCATTTTACCGGTACCTATCTTGCTTTTAATTATTTATCTATGCAAAATATATAGACAATACACGTTTTTTTAAAGGGATTTTATGACCTGGTAACGAAGACCTTGAAGTCATGTCTTATTTTAATTTATATTGGATTATAATTAATATGGAGTGAAATGAAATGAAACGAAATGAAGATGTTTAATTTAAGACATTAATCAACTGAGATGAAATTAAATGAAATGAGATTATATGGGATGAAATATAATCTCAGTAAAATGGTGGTCATTTACTGAGATTTTGTCAGTGGACTTTTTGGAGGATCCCGAGAAGTTACGTCCAGCGGCTTTGTTTCATTTTCCCACATTTGTGCACTTTCACAAATATTAAACAGTTAACCACCGTTTTTACACATTTAAACCTAAAGAAACACTAAATAGACAAAATAAAACAGATCACACAACTTCACTCCTGGCGTTCCCGCCAAAAAGTTCCAGACAATACACTTAATATGACACGTAGATTATAATATGTACCGGTAAAATGGGGCGATTAGGGACAAATTCCAACTTTATGACCAATTTTAAGGTAGTTGTTGATGTATATAATGCTACATCAGGATCAAAATGATTGAGTCTTGGGGGCATCTTTGTTATCCAATTTAAAACTATGCAACTAGCATTCCAGTTTAAGCAAAAAAAGCAAAAATAGGTGTAATCCCTATTTACCCGGAAATTGCGGTTAATTGGGACGAAATGAGAAATTTGCTAGGGTTAGCACTACTTGGTTTTAATTAATTTATTTATTTAGTTGCATCAACAAAGTGATATATATATATATAACTAAAACTTGATTACATTTATTTACTTATGGTTAATTTATATTTACTTGGGAAATGATCCGCGACAGATTTTTCCTATAAGTTGTGAGACAATTTAAAAAAAACATCTATTTCATCACTTAAAATTAGTTCAGCGCAATCGGACAACTCCGAATGAACATTCACGGAGACCATGCTACCGTGGACATTATTGTTGTCCCAAAGGATTCTGTATATGGGAGAGTAAGCACCTAAATTCGAACGAGTGGGCATATCTAAAAATGGAAAACAATACGTAACTGATAATATAAATATTTACCAAACAATAAAATAACACATTGATAATTTTAATTAAAAGTTCTAGACAAAAACATCATGAATAAGCCAAATTTTTACCAACAAATTTAAAAAATATTGTTATAACTACATAGACAACCCTACAAACCTGTACCTATTTATACTTAGGTCGTTTCCATTTCACGTATTCTCATCCCAATTGACCCCTTTTTCGTTGTTATTTGTACCTAAGACGTCCCTAATATCCCCCAAAACAACAGATTTTTACATGTATTTTTATTTTATCAAATACATTAAAACCAATAACAACCGAGACTTACCTTTAATATATATGATGGTTCAAACACTAAATAACGTTTATAAATCACAGTCGTCTTCTATTATTATCAAATAAATAAAAGAGAGCAAAGTTTCTAGCACTAAAATAATTACCACCACAGAAAGTTAATTTGAAACGCGATTTTTTATAACTTAGCAGCTATTATCATGCATATTCAGAGTTGTTTTGTGAACTTTCAACATTCTACTATTAAACTACTAAAAATGGAAGATTTTGCAACGAATATAAAATTAATATTGAGCGTCGAAAGATTTTCCCGGTTTTTTCCCGATTCGCCTCTCAATCCCTAATCGCCCCATTTTACGGTACCAATTTATGCTTGATATAATGCTTCGATCAACAATTGTTACTATTGTTGATCGAAGATATAATGTTAAAATTCTCTATAGATACACAGCGTTATCTTTTTGACACTTGACATTTCGCTGTCAGCCCGTTATGGAAGCGCAAACAATTTAATTACCGTCGAAAAATCGAGCACAATCACCCGAAGGTATAATTTTGACAAATTCAATAAAATATAATTTTAAATTTATGTATTACTTTTATTAACTGAATAATGATATCTAAAACTTCATATTCCAGTATCGAATGTTTGTCTAATCTATATATTAATACGTGAAGCAAAGACTTTGTATCCCTTTTTACGAAAATTGCGCGGGCACTCCTCCGTATGAAATTTTCCACACTTATAGAGAATATAGAGAAGAAGTGCACAATGCTAATAATTTTTTTAAATAATGCATATAAGATACATAAAATCAATAAAGAAAACATTACACACCCTACATACCGTGTATTTGACGCACACACGCATGCATAGGTACTATTTATTGTCAAACTTTTGTTCTTGATGTCTGTTGTCAAATTGAGAATAGATTAAATATTGTTTGTCTTTGTTAATGTTTTTTATAGTGTAGTCTTGATGAAATTTGTGATTATAGAGGTATAAAATACAATCATAATGGGTGTACAAACTTACAATTCCAATTAATTATAGTCGAATTTCGACTACTACGGGACCTCTAGTACATACTTATTTGCTTAATACAAAGAACATCGTTTCCAAATTAGAAACATTGCGTTTCCGCAAGTTTTAAGTACTCCAATAGTCTATCATAAAACATTTCTTTGACATCAGAGGCCCAAAGAAAATCGAAGTGATTGAAGCTATCACGCGCCACTTTGTAAACGCCTATTGTGTTTGGCAATTTCCTGGCCAAAAGGTAAAGATCCCTATAGTCGACCTGCCTGTCCTTTAAGCCGTAGTGGAGATAAGCTGGGACCGTGATTTTACTGAGGTCATAGTTCGGTGGCTGCAATTGGCCGTAGTTGATGAGGTTTCTGATTGGATCGTGGTCGTAGCGGCGGAAGGCATCAAAACGAATGCACTGACCGTAGTGGGCTACTTGCCGGATGGATGCACCGGCTGGGGTATGGCCAAGGATCAGTGGTAACAAAGTCTGCAAAAATGTACAGTTAAAATTATTGGTCGCAATTGGGGAGAAGGCACTTGTTAGTGAAACAATCTGTTAATTGATTATGAGAGCCTGAAATGGAGGGTCTCAGTAAATTTTCATCTAATACCAAGATAGGCAGTTGGCAGCATTCAATTGTGTCCATGGGTTCTGATAACATCGTTAAGTCTCCACTTATCAGCTTCAATGCCTTCCGAATTCATATAAAGTACAGTATTATAGAACAAAATTAGCTGGTCTTAAAAGACTCCTTCTTTTCATTATCCCACATTATGTAGGGTTGGCACAATATGTCCTCTTATCATACTGCATAGATAAGTATTTGGGGTGAGTTTTACGATTGACCGCATGCTTAACCTTTCCTGGATCTCCATATCTTATCTCCATAGGGACAGGTTTTCAGTTTCTTCGTTTGATGTGTTTTTTTCTACTTAAGCCGTTTTCATTATTTTTTTTATATTGATAAGTGGATGGACGAGCTCACAGCTTACCTGGCGTTAAGTGGTTACTGGAGCCCATAGACATCTACAATGTAAATGGGCCACCCACCTTGAGATATAAGTTCTAAAGTCTCAGTATAGTTACAATGGCTACCCCATCCTTCAAACCCGTGCGGACTCACAAGAGACCCTGCCACTAGTACAAGAGGTCCTACCACCATAATAATATAATTTAAATACTAATATAATAAATTTTAATATTAATCTAATTTCATCTCAAAAGACATATTATCCTAAAATGGAAGTCGATATCGACACAAAACTTACCGAGTTAAAATATTCAGAGGAAGTAATACCGGGTAGCGTGTTGGTGCACAAGGGAAACAAAATCGAGTCCTCGATGCAATGGTTGGTGGCGAACCAGGTCATGAATTCCCTGTTACCAAAGATTTCACCCACACCCATAGCAAAGGCTGCGCTCTAGAACCGTGGTAAATGACTTTAGACAGATTTAATATATCTTGTGATTAAATTTAATGTAATATTGATCTGCAGTTTCGAGGGGCGTGTATTTCAAATGATTGATTGAAAAGGCAAAATGCTTGGAGCTAGCCGCGGTGACCACGATGTTAGATTTTTGGCATAGCCCTCTCAATGAATTGTTTGTTAAGAGCCGCTGAGGTGGAATAATAAAAAAATACATATTGTATCTACCACATTTATAATCTCTTTATATAAAAATGAATTTCTGTTCGTTAGTCTCGCTAAAACTCGAGAACGGCTGGACCGATTTGGCTAATTTTGGTCTTGAATTATTTTTAGAAGTTCAGAGAAGGTTTAAAAGATAGATAAATGAATGAAAATGCTCGAAATTAAATAAAAATACCATTTTTTTTTGTTCCTTTGATGTGTCCCCCGTCGGACGGATTCCTTTTGTTTGTTTTAAGTTTATTTTACACAAAAGCTTAGGTCTTTTCTTTATCGATTGAGGCACTACGAAGTCTGCCGGGTCAGCTAGTTTATAATAATTTATAATTTTGACAGAATTGTCGATTTGGGAGATGAAATTCAAGTGAGGAAGCTTATTTGTTATTAAATATAAGAGGGAATTGTTGAGTCGGCAGTGTAGGATCAGCGGTTAGCAAAATAAGGTCCTCAGATGACCTGTAGGTACGAAAATTTTGTATAGTGATTGGTAGTACACAAAAGGCACATCAACATCGACTTCATATCTCAAAATGAAAGGTTTCCCGCCATCACGTTTACGTGGTCCAATAGACACTTATCACTAGATGTAATAAAACCCACCTGGTATTAATTAATCCACCTAGTGATAAGTGTCCAGTGGGTCACAATATTGGACTCCGTTGTGTCCTAGATAAGCCTAGTGTTGTGGCTTAACCTACCTGCCCACGAAAAGCACAAATTTGAGAGCTTTTTGCCTTCGAAAGCAATGTAGCGTACGTCCCACCTGATGGTGAATAATCACTCTTGCCGGGAGTACAATCTAGCCACTGCCAACCGCTGAAAGCACTTTCAAGTTGCAGGGCAGACATGTCAAATACTCTAATATTGAATTACACATAAAATTATTATATTTTCTATCATACACACATTGATAAGCAGCTCAATAAAACCACAAACACGAAGGTACCTCAAGAACATTTTCATACGGCGCCAAAGCGTTGAAAGTTGAATGTTCATTATAAGTGAAGAAGGAAGCAGGTGCCAACCCTTGGAAGGAAATGAACTTCTCATTATATTCCGGTCTTAACGAATTTAACACCAAAAACGTGGTTCCGCCTTGGGAATGGCCGACATAGTGAACTTTCTGTTGCCCGGTGACCTCTAAAACGTAATCTATCATGGCCGGTAGGTCGTAATTGCCTATTTCGTCCCAGCTGAACTTCCAAAATCTCTGAGTGATGAGGCTGTCCGGATTGTGACGTCTGTGGTTGCGAGAGTAGAAGTTACCGCGGGCGTTACCCAACCAGACATCATAGCCGGCGTCGGATAGGATGTAACCTGAAAACCACCATTACACTTGTACATGAAGGGAGTTTACATATACAACACATTATACTTTATACAAACAGTGGTAGTGAGGGGGGAGCAAAGGGAACATCATACCCAGGGCGTTACTCACAGAAGAGTGCCAAATGGTCCGAAAAACATAAAAATGCTGGATAATTTTTATTTTTAGTTTAATTGATTTTTGAAAAATATAAAATACTTTATACTAAATTTAGTGCCAAAATAGATGCTAATTCGTAGACAAAAAGGAGCACTAATATTGTGTCTTAAGTCTAAACTAATCATTTAGAAAACAATACAACAAACATTTAGAAAACAATACTAAGTTTGATTTGGAGTCTATCAATCAAACTTAGTACTGTTTTCTAAATGTTCCTTTAAAAATATATAAAATACATACAAATAGGTATTATTTGAACTAATTCTAGATGATCATCTTACATTTCAAAATGTAATCTTGTTTTCTCGACTACAATTTTTGTCTCAAACTTAAAGCCTAGCTTGAGCCTATGAATTTATTTATTAATATGCGACTATATTTTACATATAACATATGGTTTTCCAATGGAGGGGGCGCTTTTTTTTGCCTAGATGGGTGAACGAGCCCACCTGGTGTTAAGTGGTTACTGAAGCCCATAGACATCTACAACGTAAATGCGCCACCACTTTAAGATATAAGTTCTAAGGTCTCAGTATTACAACAAGCTGCTGCTTACAACGGCTGCCCCACCCTTCAAACCGAAACGCATTACTGCTTCACGGCAGAAATAGGCAGGGTGGTGGTACCTACCCGCGCGGACTCACAAGAGGTCCTACCACCAGTAAATGCATTCATTGTATGAACGAGGTCACGGCCTTCCAAATGTATCTTCACACGCCTTGGGGGCATGCGCCTGCTTCGGGGCATAAATTAGCTGGATGGTATTTACTGTGTGGGATGACATTGCCAATCCACCGTTACAACGTTGCGTTACATGTTTGATGGTTCATCGTAATCTTGAATACTTTAATGTCTCATTGAGCGGAACCCTTATTTAACTATTAGAACCCTAAAACACTTTATTTAGGCCACGACGACGACTTGAAAAAGTTCAGCGCGGTCAGTTAATATCCTCTAGTTATTTGTTAAATATATCAAATTTATTTAAATCTTTATTATTACAATGTTGTACTATTTGGCCCCACAAAAGCATTCAATTAAGGAAACCTTATGTCAAACTAAAAACTTAAAATACTCCAAATGCTGGTATAGCAAAGAATAATCTACTTAAATAATTAATTATTTATGTCAAATGGTATTAAAGATTATTGATAATATGTAGTTATGATTGATTCAACACAACTGATTGATGATAAAAAAAATGTAACAGATATCCTTTTCAAGATAAAGAATATTTAATTTAAAATTATAATAAAATTGCTTTTGTTCACCTCGCCTGGTGTTAAATTGTTACCAGGGCACATACAGTGAGAATACTGCCAACTTAGAGAGAGAGAGAGAGAGAGAGAGAGAGAGAGAGTGAGAGAGAGAGGGAAAAAACCAAAATAAATCCAATTTGTAAACATTAAGTTAAGATTCGGTAAGATTTCATTTTTGGGGCTACACTTTTATGAAGTAGGAGCCCAATCATAGATAAGAAATAAGTTGTTAGGTCTCCTTCGGAGGCGTTCGGGCAGATGTTACAAATCCCACCCCTTCTGGATGAGCCTTAGCTCCCCCACCTGTCCTGGTGAAACTAAAAAGGCCTCCGGGCCATCAGTAATCCTTCAATCATAAAAAAAGATAAGAAATAATAGGTCTTGGCCTATGAAGTGGTCGTTTTACAATATTGGTCAATAGAAACGTAATTAATAATGTTACGCCGGTAAGAGTAACGCCATCTATCGCCGAATAGTCGAACGAATATCGAAGGACCTAGTAGCACCTAGAACGCTCGAGAAGTACAACGCGATCTATTGTCAGATAGCGGAAACACAATACTAGAGATGTGTGGAATATTCTCGATAATTCTAGTGATGTGGTATCGGCTTAAAAGGCGTTGCAGAGATGGCATGCAGTCAGTCAGTAATCGGAAAGTGAAGCAGCGAACGGATCACCTGAAGCGAAGCGGAAGGAGCGAATTGAGTATTTTACAGTGTTTGTGAAGTGTTCTAAGTGTTGAATACAGTTTTTAGTTGTACTTTGGTGGAATTTTATTTATCCCGAACCCCAACGCGTAAAATATGATTGATTAGTTTTTGTTTTCAGTAGATTATTTTTCATCAACATGGATACGATCAAAATTCGAGTAATTATGGAATATGAGCTCCGTCGCGGCACCAATGCCGGATATTTTATTTATTTTGTACTGCCCTTGTAGTCAGACGCACCTACGACCCCTCCTGATAGTGAGTGGTTACCTTTGCCCCTAGACTTCAGCAACGCCATGGGCAAAACCAAGCCACTGCCTACCGTTAAGTACTCTCCAGCTTCGTTTGAAGAAAGTCATAGCACTCGGGAAGCACCGTGGAGGGGAGCTCATTCCAAAGTGAGTGGCAAAAAATATCGCTAGAAACACAACTATGGATGAAAGCAGTGGCTCCAGGTAGTATGGATGAACTCTACTCCAGTGGCGGGCGGTGCGATGGTAAAAACGAAATGATGGGATCATTTCAAACAATTCCTCAAAGCACCCCCCATACGGTACAAAATGTTAACATCCTATCTGTGCGAATCACCAATTAAAACCAGTTTTACGATGTAATCACCTATTTTTTATTGCCATTAAATTGTTTCTGATGTTTCGAGTACTTGACAGTCTCCGAGGTGGCGAAAAACAAAGGCGTTTTATACGTCGACATTTGAATATTGCGTTAACTACCGCGTAGGCAGCGGCTTGGCTCTGCCCTTGGCATTGCTGAAGTCCATGGGCGACGGTAACCACTCACCATCAGGTGGGCCATATGCTCGTCTGCCTACAAGGGCAATATTTTTTTTTTTTGTTTCTATTACAATTTTTTTTAGTTTTCTATTTATTAATAGACAAATAAACGGCACTTAGCACAATATTATTAAAAAGATATAATAGGTATAAAAAGCGCAAGACTAAACTGTAAAAATATCAAACTATATTTCATTTACCCAAAGCAGTACTCGGCCCTAATACCAAGAAGTCAGCTGAAGACGATAAAAGACCATGCATCAGGAAGACCACCGGTCTGTTCTGTTTAGGTCTGCTCCCTTCGTTCCTACCGTGAGGAATCCGGTGCATTTCCAGTATGTAACCATCTTCTGTTTCTACACTGTGGATCTCGGAGGGATATCCGTATTTGATTAGAAGACCAGGCTGGAAATAATAAAATTAAATTGCCCCAGAAGGTACATTTCAAAATTATCTTATGACATGATTTTTACTCATGCAAAAGGATCGATAACAAAACAATTTACTATTCAAAACTATTTATGTTTATGCAAATGATCTAGCCGCCGCGTTAGCTCAATATTTTTTTAAATTCCTACTTACGTTCCATGTAGGGAACTGGATCTTACATTGCAGTCGTTTTTCAGTAACTTCTAGTTTGAACTATCTTGTGGATTATGATCCAGTTAATAATTAACCTACTGATCGGGCTATGACTACTTCCCATTCATGCTTACGGGATGGCAGTATACTCGCGAATGAAGAAAACCATTGTTTTGGCAATAAGCATTGAGTCAAACATGTGTTGTCATTGAAACAACTAAATATATTCACAATTGCCGTAGACTTGTCAGCCTATAAACATCCAAAATCGATATAAATTTTCGGTACTATATAAACCCACTTACCACGTCGAGTTTAGCATCTTCCAGCACATCGCTTGGGGTACCAACCAGACTCTGTTCCAGCTCCTCAATGTACTCTGCATGCGGTGATCTCCTCCCTGCAACAGCTCCGATGCACAGAAATAAAATTAGCAGCATCATTTTCCGCAAAACAAAGTTCTCGATGCTTCGAGACTTAAGACTAAAATATCAGGCCGCGCTTGGTTTCCGAGCGGCTGTCTAATACCATCCCAAAACACACAGCTGGGGCCATTACACGATTAAATATCAATTATCCACCTGACGTCTTATCGTTTTAATCTTAGAATGAAATGTATTAATAAAATGTAAAATGCCTTAAACAAATGTGTATTGAAATTGATTTGGAATTGTTACATGAGCAAATTAATTGTTAAATTAATCATTGTTAATTAAGAAGGAATGACTTCTCGTCACGATTTTCGAAAAATTATCAAGATCTGCCCCCCTCAACACGAAGACAGACGGTATAACTGATAATAGGTAATGATTAATACTGAATAGATAATTAATATTCTTAATATAACCACGTAAACTGTGGAGTATTCGAAACGTCTTAAAATAATATAATCTAACAATGTAATGCCAAACGCGAGATTTAACCGTAAAAGTACCTAGTTATAAGAAATTCTAAAATATATTTAATGCCCGCAATGTAGCACAAAGCAAGATGTACTGAAAGACACCGAACACGCAACATTCGTCAGCCGCCTTCCCAATACATTGCGGGCTCTCACAAAGGCTAGACTAGACTAATATGTACTTGTGAGTTCACATTTAAAAATGGAAAATTAATGAACATTTTACTTAATCAAACACATTAAAATGACATGTAAACTGAAAGATATTAATCTTTTGGTGAAATCTTCTCTTGTTTGTCTGCATACCCTCACTTTCAGTTTAAGCAATCCATTTTGCAAACTTCTGAATCTTGCTCCCGACAATTATAGCTTGATCTAGTGAAGAGCTCAAAGTTTTTATTATGGTTTCATCAACTGAAAACGGTGGCTGTTAGTTTTTAATATGACGCTCACGGGGCCCTGCCAGTGTGCAAATGGTAAACAGTCGCCATCGCCCTAAATACCTCATTTCGAACCCTCCCCATCCACTATCAGTGCTATTAGGCATCCCAAGTATCGGGCACCGTTCCAGACGTACCTACCCGTCGAATGCGTCGAATTCGTCGTGAAAATTAACCCATAGACACAGCCCACTGAGTTTCTCGCCGGATTTTATCAGTGGGCCGCGATTCCGATCCAGTAATAGATTTAACGAAGCATTGCTCTTGCTAAGGTTAGTGTTAGCAAATTCTCTCAGCCCGTGAGCTAACAACCTACCGGTCCGCGCGTAGTTGGAATAACTCCTCAGGCTACCAATGATTAGGTAAGGGGGAAAAGGTATTCTATTACTAACATTAATGGCTAATGGTAATGAACGACAACAAGCATAACCCAAAAATATTACACGTAGCTCTAATGGAGGTATTTTGCAATTAATTCCAGACTCAAAACTAATCCACCATGGATTAAAAGGATTAAAGATCTCACATGAATCTTATCTTTTGTTTTAATATCCAAATAACATCATACTATTTTGGACCTTAAAACTTCGATGTAAGATTAATTTTTCCGGTCATAGCGAACTAATGCTTCGTTAAAAAAACAAAAACAAATGTTGTTTTTACCGGACTGCCAATAGAAGATAATGTTTTTTAAGGTATTTAAGTATATAGTGTATTATCTAATTATCCGGCAAGCTCTACAGCAGGGGTTCCCAAACTTATTTTATCTACTGCCCACTTTGAGAATAAATTATTTTTTATCGCTCCCATTTTTCACATACTTCAAAATCACTGTAAAGAGAACTCAGTCGGTGTCTAAGAGTCCTCCTAGATGAAATTACAAATCGCCTCCCAAGCTTCTTCACAACGCTCCCTTTTTTTCTGGGTCTGTCAACGCCCCCCTTTAGGCCTGCAGGGCCCACAAGGGGGCGTTATCGTCCACTTTGGGAAAGGCTACTCTATAGCCTAAAAACCTTTTGACCGATTTCGACACATGAGGTGTCATTGGATTCGAATCAATTGTGTGAGAGTGACATAGGATATTTCTTTTCCCTACCTGTTAGCTGGTACCCTAAGAGCAAAATTCCAGCTATGTCAGGACGCTAGTGATAGACACTTCGGCAACTAAGCAGGCCGCCACAAAAAAATTCAACTGCATTAAAAATACTAACTGCAAAGCGTAAAACAAACTATGTTAGTAAATGGATTGATACTAAGTATGATGAAGGGCAAGATAGATTATTTTTATAACTAGGGTAAACTCATACGATAGACGAGGTTAAATTGATAATGCACCGTTAACCTCGCCTTACTTATAGACACCAAGTACAGAATATACATAAACACACAGAGAAGTACAAACAAAATATTTAATTTCTAGTTAGCTAGCTAGTTTTAGTTTTAACTTCCACCTTCACTTAACAGAATAATCACATTTTGAAGTGACGTTTCTGGGTAAAGAAAGAAGGAAAGAAAGAAATCATTTATTCGCCAAGCATAGTGAAAATGAGTTATTACATAAGTTAAAAGCAGCGTGTATGCTTTGTCATTATTTGACATGCGAATTTTAGTGCAGTGCAAGATATTATAATCTAATATATAAAATTCTCGTGTCACAGTTTTCGTTGCCATACTCCTCCGAAACGGCTTGACCGATTTTGATGAAATTTTTTGTGCTTATCCGGTATCTATGAGAATCGGCCAACATCTATTTTTCATCCCCCTAAATGTTAGGGGTAGTCAAACCCAAAAAAAATTTTTTTTATTTTTAGACAAAAAATTTAATTTCTATTTTTTTATGATACAACATACAAAAATACATACAACCCTAAATTTTCACCCCTCTACGATCAACCCTTATTTTTTATTTGCTAATTAAAAACTTTAAATTTTTTTGCGAGTATTTTGTTTTTATTTTGTCATGACGTAGAATAAAAAAAATCATATTACTCTGAAATTGTCACCCCTCTACGATCAACCCTTATTTTTCCATCCAGATTAATATTTTTTTTATTCTATGCACAGATCCGCAATAAGGTTGCAAGACGGCAATCAAATATTATAATAATAATTGTAGTACGATAAATTCTTATTCAGAGTTTATACTTTCAAGTTCCTTTAATTATGATTTTTTTTAAATTGAAATTGTTCTCCCGCCCTCGCCGGTCGACTACTGATCAACTATCAATCGATCAGCTATCCCCGCCAGGTGTCACCACTCATCCAGTGAACATCAGGTAGTAGGGATGAGGACGAAGCCGGTCTCCTGTCTTACTTACTCACTATAACATCATAGATTATACACTTAATATATTTGAGAGCTATACAATACTATACATTTTCCAGCCATGTTTTTTTGGTTTTATTTGTGTATCAATAGTATGTTCAGTAGGTTTGAGAATCGGCTACTGTCTATTTTTCAAACCCCTAAGTGAAAAGGGTTGTCCAACCCAAACATTTTTTTTTTTAATTTTTTGGATATATATTTTTTTGTTTATAATGAGGTATTATGTGGTTAAATGAGGTTTTTTTTTCTACAGTAGAATTTCCCTAGAAATCTTATTTAAGGCAACACAACGTTTGCCGTGTCAGCTAGTATTATATAATAATTTACCATTCATTCATCCTTAATTCAACTAATAATTAAAATTCCATTTATTTTCAATGTCGTCCCTAAGAAAATAATTTATGTGATAATAATTTCCACTAATAAGATTATCTTTTAGTTTTTTCTTAAAATGAAAATCGTCTAATGGCCATTTTCACCGACATTTAGGGATCCCTTAACTGCATTTAAGGAGCCCCTAATTAAAAATTCGTTTTCACCAACCTTTAGGTATCTCCTAAGTTCTTAAAAGGCTCCCTAAATTTAGGAACCCGATTTTTCGTTCCTTAACTGTCTCCTAACACTAGAAGACAGTTTTATGTCTGCTGTCATCTATTTCTATACACAACATTCACACAATGGTTTGAAAACCATTTTTACAATGGACAATGATTTAACTCTATTTTTAGAAAGTTTGGAAGCAGTTGAGTCTTTACAGTTAGTTTCTAGTCATTCTGTACTTAAAAGGCCACGCTTGTATCGTCAGAGAACTGAAGATTTCGGAAAATACGATGACAAAGACTTTGTCTTTAGGTATAGGCTATCAAAAGAAGCTGCTATTTTTATTAGAAAAAAATATCTTTTTACCTTATAGATGAAAAGTAAGGTTTTTGGAGTGAACGAGTGTTTGAGTAAATTTTAATTATAGCTCTATGGGTATCAAATAAAAACTAATAAATAGCCAGTTCCAAATTAATGTTCATTATAGCTCATTATAGTGACATAAACTTTTTAATTTAAACTGAAAATTGAATTATTGACATTCAGGACTAAAGTGCGTTATTCAATTTCATATTTATATAACAGATTGGGTTTTTTTTTAATAAATTATATACCAGAGACGTATAATTATGATTTATTTTCATTAATATTTATTATTCTTTTATTTGATGGATATTTTAAAGGTAATCGCGGATCACATATTTTTATCGATAAAACAGCACTCAAATCAAAACATTAAAACGTTACCTAACTAAGAAACTCCTTAAAACTTAGCACAAAGCATGGTGAAAATGAATTTAGGTAGGTGGTTGATTTAGGTAATCTCCTGTCTAAAGTGTTTCCTACGGTAGGTAGGTACGGTTCCTTGGTAGTTTATTATATATCCTAACGCTCATACCTAGTATACTATTATTCTTTAATGTAGTTTTGGATTTTGGAAAACATAGTTTATCGTCGCGTCGATTTCTGTTTGCCACATTAGACATGAGACATTAATTAATGAGGTAATCGTATTCATGCAATGAAGTGCTCATACAGCATTTAGGATTAGCCCAGTTGTTGTAAATGAAAGTCGTTACTAACTCACAAATTGTATATTTATGGAAAATACAATAGGTACATACAGTTTTATTATAGTTATCTAAGTGGAACTGTGTTCGCTGTATGACCGTTACAACTGGACTGTCGTCCCAATAGCCTTTTCCCACAAGCGTGGAATGGTGAAGATGAAACCTTGGGTTACGTAGCCAGGTAAAACGCCGCGTACGTTATTAGGCATGTGTGAGTGACCCTACACAGCAGATATAGCTTTCTTTGTAGTCCACAAGAGGTTTGGTAATTCAATGTAATAATTATTTTACTGTTATTGATAAAAAAAAATTGCCAAATTTAAGCGCCTGAAGTGGACACTGAGGAAAATTATTAGTTTCAATTACCTTTAGTTGGAATGAAATTTTTGTACTGTTAAAATAAAAGATCAATTTTTAACGCCATCCGTGACTCCGAAACACCTATGATCTCCATTCGTATTTATATAGATAATAATACCTATGGTTTAAAGAAAAATAATAATTCATACACACATAGCAACTTAAGTTAATGTCAATACGACTCAGTACATACATACTGTTACGGGTTGGGGTTCGGGATAGATAAAAAATTATACCGAAGTACAAATTAAAACTGTATTAACAATTAAAACACTCAACAAACACTTAAAAATTCTCAATTCGCTTCTTCCACTTCCCTTCAGGTGACCCCGTTCGCTGTTTCGCTTCGAGTAGTTTCGGTTACTGACTGACTGCGTGCCATCTCTGCAACGCTTTTATAGTCGAGACGAAATCCCTAGAATCGTCGAGAATATTCCACACAAGTCGAGTATTGTGTTTCCGTTATCTGACAATAGATGGCGTTGTACTTTTCGAGCGTTCAAGACGCTACTAGGTCCTTCGATATTCGTTCGACTATTCGGCGATTGATGACGTTACTCTTACCGTAGTAGGATTAATTTTACAATAGTGTGAATCTGCCATACTTAAGTTACTGTTAGTTTTCTTTTTCTTAATATGACAAATAATTACATATTTTTTTTCACAATTACTATGGTTCACGTCTGAACAAAACACTGAGAGTAGTGTTGACAAAAACATTATCATCGCCCAAGGTTACATCACCATCTAAATAATACAATTAGTCATTTGCTAACTGAATGAATTGTATTCGTGCAATGTTTATCCAATAATAAATAAAACAAACCCTAGGACAACAACGTATATAATTTGATGCTAGTGATTATTTGTTTTTTGTCCAACACTGTGCCTAACGAAAAACTGATAGAGCATCCAGAACTAAAACACAGAATACTAATAAGTTTTTAAATTTTCGTTATTAGTGGCAAATATATTATTAAAATTTTAATTCAATATTTTTTTTTAATCAAAGTACAGAATTTTAGTTGAAAAATGAGAAAACTCAATGAAAAAATCGCATTTTTTTATCTCGTTTCATTGAACACGGTGTTCACTGAGAGTAAAAAACGCTATGTAAATGTAGATGACGCAGAGAAAATCGAAGTGATCGACTTAACACAGGCAACGACTTGGAGGGATTTATCTGAATACTATGAGGCGATTGAAAAACGATGGTAAGAATTTTCTATAGATAAAAGCTTTATGAACCTTTAATATAAAATACTTGGAATATCGATTTTTTTCACATTGTTCATTTTTCTAATCTGAAATATGTACAGCCAAAAAATTATTAAATTATTTTTGAGATTGTGGTTGTAAAAAAATATAAATAGTTCCAAGTGAATTATTGTGTTTAAGTCACCGACATTAACTTCAGATGTGATAGAGATAGAAAGTACCCACATAATATTAAGTTATTACAAATATGTCATATGGCGCCACACTTCAAAATGTTAATCGAGCAAAACAATCTTTAGTGTTCTCAGGAAACCTTTCGAGGTTCTTTTTTCATTTTCGCATATATATTAAAAATATTCGAAACATCCAATGGCGTAATTGATGTTATGGGTCACAATACGAAAAAGAAATGGAAGTTAGCTCTTTGCCTAATAAAAATGTAGAATGTCTAACGTTGAACGTTAAGTCAGCTAGTAGACATCCGAAAACTGGATTTTATTATTAGCGTATTTCTAACTATCTTAATAGAAAACACTTTTTCACCCGGTGACAACAGAAACGATAAATATTCAAAATGTTTATATTGAAGGCTAGCGACCCGCCCTCGCTTCGCTTCGGAAACATTCAATTTTATTATTGATAGCTGAGTCTCGCGATGTTACCCGCGGTTATTGTCGTACCACGGGTGAAGACGTGGGGCGAAGCTAGTCTAAAAAAAGCCTAGCCTACCCTAAGTTACTCCTTATATCATCAGCTACCTATCAGTGAAAGTCCCGTCAAAATCGGTCCAGCCGTTCCAGAGATTAGCCGGAACAAACAGACAGACAGACAGACAGGCTATTTCAATATTACAAACAGACACTTCAATTTTATTTATATGTATAAATGCAAAAGAAACGTGGTTTTAATAGTAATTTCACGACTATCAGGAAACTGTGTCTGAACTGCGGCGTACCAGGGCTGGGTACAGCTATGCACATGGAGCTTCCGGGGGGTGAAGCCTCCATGCATCTCTCTGTTATACCTCCAGACTATCTGGTTACAAGATGTAAGTCAAGCACAAGATATTAAATTAAGGCAGACCAGCATACGGCCCACCTAATGGTGAATGGTTACCGTCGCTGATTAAGGTCAGCAATGCCAGGAGCAGAGCCAATCAGCTGCCTACCAAAAAGTAGCTTAGTAGCGTCTAGGCAGGTAGAATTTGTTCTGATGTAAGCTATCGACTTCAAAGGAAAATTTTACTTTAAGGTCATTCATTGCATATGAAAGGTTTTCAGTTTATAAGCAGCATATTTCTTCCTTTTGATTGCACTAGATCGCTCGAAGAGTTAGTTTTCAGATAATTTTCTGCAAGTGAATGTATGTGACGTCAAAGCTTCACTAACTAGTAGCTAGTATAACAGCTGGCCCACTGTTTAGACCGCCTACTGATTGTGGTGGCAGGATGATGGTAATTAATATTAGTAACCTAAACTGGTACCAAAGTGGGAGCTTAGAATTCAGCTATGGTCCGATAGATACAAGTTGTTTTTTTTTATTGCTTAGATGGGTGGACGAGCTCACAGCCTACCTGGTGTTAAGTGGCTACTGAAGCCCATGGACATCTACAACGTAAATGCGCCACCCACCTTGAGATATAAGTTCTACGATCTCAGTATAGTTACAACGGCCGCCCCACCCTTCAAACCGAAACGCGTTACTGCTTCACGGCAGAAATAGGCAGGGCGGTGGTACCTACCCGCGCGGACTCACAAGAGGTCCTACCACCAGTAGCGCACCGGAAGTCTCATATTTTAAACCACAACGACGACTTATTTTGTCATTTCAATTATTGAGACTTCGACAGGCAATCGGAATATGGAACCCAACGCGGTTTCCATGATAATCGAACAACTAATGTTATTCTTTATTTTCAGTATCTATAATCGACGTTACTGCCCTAAGCAATACAAATCCACCTTTAGTGCTGACTTTAGATGTTGCTCAGCAATGGATCTCATTGAAGCATGACCCTCGAGAGCCGACGTTACTACTCTTCAAGTTCGGCTGGAGCGAAGAGGACACGCACAAGAAAGTCAGAAGCTGTATTTGTGAAATACCAGGTTTGTCACACACACATACACACATTAAATTAATACTAAAATGATAGTCGTCGTGGCCTAAAGGATAAGACGTCCGGTGCAATCGTATCTAGTGATGCAACAGTGTTCGAATCTCGCAGGCGGGTAACATTTTTTCTAATGAAATACGTACCTACTTAACAAATGTTCATGATTGACTTCCACGGCGAAGGAATAACGTCGTGTAATAAAAATCAAACCCGCAAAAGTATAATTTGCGTAATTACTGGTGGTAGGACCTCTTGTGAGCTCGCACGGGTAGGTTGGTAGTGTTGGTACCCACCCTGCCTATTTCTGCCGTGAAGCAATAATGCGTTTCGATTTGAAGGGTAGGGTAGCCGTTGTAACTATACTGAGACCTTAGAACTCATATCTCAAGATCGGTGGCGGCATTTACGTTGTAGATGTCTATGGGCTCTAGTAACCACTTAACACCAGGTGGGCTGTGAGCTCGTCCACTCATCTTAGCAATAAAAAAAAATAAAAAATTAAAAAAAAATACGAGACCACAAATAGGGAACTGATTTTCTGTCTTCAATAGCGTCAGAAGCCATCAACACATTGTTGTAGTATTCAGAGCGTTGGCCATTTACCTATTGCGTGTATAAATAAATATGCCCCTTCATCTTCTTGTTCAACTAGGTCAATAAGGTTGCGATTTTGAAATGATCGAATGAGGATTTCCACGAGGATTTTACATGATTTTTCTGTGCTGCTATTAATTGAAAGACAAGCGAATCTAGATTAATCTACTTCCATTACGTTCGTTCGCAAAAAAAATTAATTTGCAATTAAACTACCATTTAATTTTCCTGAATTTACCAAAATTTAGGAGGGTTATAGTCTTGCAGAAGCGTACCTATAAAACTAGACTATTTAGACTAATATGACGTGGAAAGACGTGGAAATGTTATGCTAATACTGGCTGTAGGGGCAAGAAGAAAACCATATTGAGGGGTGAAAGACTATTTGGTTTAACAGACATGTTTGTAGCTTTACAGCAAAGATATTTAAAGTTTAAAATTAAAAAAAATATTATTATAACAAAAAACTTCTTCAGCTATTTGAATATAGAGTAAACCTTCTTTTTTTATTGCTTAGATGGGTGCACGAGCTCACAGCCCACCTGGTGTTAAGTGGTTACTGGAGCCCATAAACATCTAGGTACAACGTAAATGCGCCACCCATCTTGAGATATAAGTTGTAAGGTCTCAGTACCACCCTTCAAATCGAAACGCATTACTGCTTCACGGCAGAAATAGGCAGGGCGGTGGTACCTACCCGCGCGGACTCACAACAGGTCCTACCACCAGTAATTACGCAAATTATAATTTTGCGGGTTTCACTTTTATTACACGATGTTATTCCTTCACCGTGGAAGTCAATCGTGAACATTTGTTGAGTACGTATTTCATTAGAAAAATTGGTACCCGCCTGCNTGGTACCTACCCGCGCGGACTCACAACAGGTCCTACCACCAGTAATTACGCAAATTATAATTTTGCGGGTTTCACTTTTATTACACGATGTTATTCCTTCACCGTGGAAGTCAATCGTGAACATTTGTTGAGTACGTATTTCATTAGAAAAATTGGTACCCGCCTGCGGGATTCGAACACCGGTGCATCGCTTCAACACAAATGCACCGGACGTCTTATCTTTTAGGACACGACGACTATTTAGACTAATATGACGTGGAAAGACGTGGAAATGTTATGCTAGTACTGGCTGTAGGGGCAAGAAGAAAACCATATTGAGGGGTGAAAGACTATTTAGTTTAACAGACATGTTTGCAACTTTACAGCAAAGCCATTTATTTTAAAGATTAAAATTAAAAAAAAAAAAATTATAACAAAAAACTTCTTCAGCTATTTGAATATAGAGTAAACCTTCTTTTTTTTATTGCTTAGATGGGTGCACGAGCTCACAGCCCACCTGGCGTTAAGTGGTTACTGGAGCCCATAAACATCTACAACGTAAATGCGCCACCAACCTTGAGATATAAGTTCTAAGGTCTCAAGTATAGTTATAACGGCTGCCCCACCTTTCAAACCGAAACGCATTACTGCTTCACGGCAGATATAGGCAGGGTGGTGGTACCTATCCGCGCGGACTCACAAGACGTCCTACCACCAGTAAGAAGTTATTTGAATTTCAATTAAGAACATGGAACTGTTGATGCTAACATTAACCACAACGGACCTTTAATATTATTCACTAAGTTAAATATCGCGTATTTAGCGAAATATCGCTTAAACCAAAAAGCTTTCCAACCCTCTATATAATTAAATTATTGTCACTCCTCGAACTCTAGGGCTAAGCTACGAGCTAGCAGAATGGATAGCTACAAATATGAGTCATGTGGTGGGAGTAGGAACCGATGCTCCGACACTTGAGTCAGAACAGACCAGGGAATTCTCCAGCCGAACTGTCGCGAACTTGTTGGGACGCAGCGGTGTTTACATTGTCGAAAATGTTAACTTGAAGACCAAATTGCCAGGTATTTTTAATACGCTTTTAACTTCATACGTATGTTAGTATGTGTGTATGTAACGGAATCTTTCACCCTGATTTTTACACGCTTTATATTAGCTTCACTGGTATGTATGTTTGTATGTTTGTAACTGACTCCTTTAAACGCGATTTCGACCCAGTTTAAACGGCCACATTTCATTCAAACTTTGTAGATTTATCGAGGACTGATGACAATACACTAATTTGATAAGATTATTCCATTATTTCATTTGCAAAGAAAAAATAACTAAAAAATGAAAAATAAATAATAGTTAAAAAAAACTAAAAAACACGCTTTATATAAAATTCAACTAAAAAATAGAAAATATATTTTAATAAATTTAAATTGAAAATAGTGTGAAAAAATATATTTCATTGTAGAAAAAGCGTGGGGTGCTTTTTAAGATATGTCAAAATGGTAATCTATCTATCTACTCATATCTGTTAATAAAATATTTATAAATATTGACACCATGTACCCCACGCTTTTTTTACAATAAACATTTTCTATTTTTTTAATTGGATTCTCTATTAAACCGTGTTTTTTAGTTTTTTTTAAACTATTATTTATTAGCAATTATTTTTACAGAGACAACGAAAGTATATACATGGGTTTACTTGTGCAAGTACCTATTGATTCTTTTACCAAATTATAAAATAGAGCAAGTCGCATAACAGTAGAGTAACAACGAAACTAACTTTTGGATTTGTAAAGGCTTCGCTGCAGACATACGCAGAGCTTGACTAACGTAGGACTAAAGGTCACAAAAAGACAATAAAAAAATCGGTTGTCTGTAAAGTCGGTTTACTGACGATAGTTGAATGTGACAACGTCATAAGAAAATACTGATGGAATGGTTTCATTTTTCAAAAGAAAAAATATTTTATTTGTTTGATAGATATTTTGTATGGCCAATTGACACCACGTTCACTTTTCACTGAACTTCATACTTGACGAAAACATGTAAATGTATTATTGTATGGCAGTGTCCACGCGGATGCATCGCTCACTCAAGTAAGAGAGAGACAGATGTCGAACGCTGCCGAACGCGGAGGCCGATTGTGGCTCTTTGTCGCTCGTTGCGCGCTCTCGCTTGCACTTCAAGCCTTAAATGGAACGCCTCAACGAGTCATGTTTTTCGTGCGTGCAGCCGGCTCCATCGAATTATAAGATGTTGTGACGTCAAAAAATCTTTCGACAGTAAATGAAATTTGTAAATTGTGCCTTTTGTCACAACAGTTTAACTCTAGTTTCGCTTAAACTTTTCACCGATCTTTCAGAACAAAGTTGCATGGTCACTACAATGCCGTTGAAGCTGCTGAACGCTAACTACGTGCCGGCGAGGGTGACGGCATTTTGTCCGACAACACACGTCGGGAAGCACGTCGCCTTGACTTTAAGGGGTGACGTCACACACCAGACCGCCCCCAATCGGTTATTCGACGTGGATTTAGACGAAATATTAAATAATTAATTTTTTGACATTGAATCTGTTACCAGAATGGCATTTTAAAAATGTTATATTATTTTGTTCGGAAGCGTTTTTAATGTTTTTTTTCTCTTTTTTTTATTGCTTAGATGGGTGGACGAGCTCACACCTCACCTGGTGTTAAGTGGTTACTGGAGCCCATAGACATCTACAACGTAAATGCGCCACCCACTTTGAGATAAGTTCTAAGGTCTCAAGTATAGGCAGGGTGGCGGTATAATCGTTACGCTCTCAATTCTGTTCAAAATATTTTTTATATCCGTTGCTTATAGGGTAAACCGTGGGAGTAGTAATAATTGTAGGTTCGCCAAACACACAAAATAAAAACTCCCCCAATACTCGAATAAATAAGCTTTATTTTTGGCCAAACTATTACATTGCATCACAAATATATGATTCAAATAATAAAGAAGAAAAAAAGGTCATGAAAATACATAGTAAATGAGAATAAAACTAGTGAATCGAGGGTTGCCAGGTAAAATACTAAAATGTAATTATTGCGTTTCTCTTCATAAACCTTAATATTAAAAACGTGGAAGATTATTTACGGATCATATAATAATATGTAAATACGGCCTCGATCGTAGGAAGAGGCCTAAGAGGAGGCTTTAATATTATAATAATATATTAAAAAGGGAAGCCTAAAATTTACACAGAGCACCAGTGGCAACACACTGAAGCACCTTTTACACCCGCTCAAGCGAAACTAGCCTTTATACGTCTTTCAATAAGTGTACTTATTGCTTAATTCTATTTTATATTTTTTAATCTAAGGCTACACAGCTGTGAATGGGCTCCGTCCTTTAAAACATCGAGGCTAAAAATTTATATTTGACAAAAAAAATACTTACAAGATAATTTAGTATCAGCTTAAATAGTATTTGTACTGTTAATATATTGTACAAAATTATGTACCAAGGCAGTTTTAATGAGCAGACTTACAGCATATTATTGCAATACCTCGACTAGGGATGAGATTTGTGTCCGATTTTGCAAAATCGATTATTGCCTTCTCCCCCCCCCCCACTGGCCCTGATCGTTCGGAAGTAAAAAATGTGAAGTATTAAAATATATTCATTTGATGTTGCACCGTTACCCTCATTGTGTTATCGACTAACTTTTGTGGCTAGTGTGTGACCTAATCGATATATCTATTTCGCTCACTCTCGTGAGCTAGGAAGAAGACAGACGCATTTAAAAACTATTTCGAAGAAGATAGACAGCTTAGTAGAAATTCTAAAGGATTTGGAAGAGGTATAAATGTATCAAAATTACAAAATTCCTTGTCGATGATAGAACTTGTTTCAAAATGCTTCTTGGAATGGCCAACGCCGGCGTCTATTGACTCCTTCTAGCAAGTGACTGGCTCTATTTATTTCGAGTGATAATCTAAGGAGAATGCGGTGATTTATCTTAAAGTAAACAATGACTTATAAAATTTTAGAACTGGCCTTCTCCTCTCCAAATATCTTGGTTTTTTAATATAGTGTAAAGGTTCCCACGATTTTTTGTTTACATTCACAGCAAAAGGGAATCTCGCTTTGAGATTATTCTCGTCATAAAAAACAAAACACGTTTAATTATTTTCACTAATATCTATTTCCCGCATTTGTAGTCCCTAAAGTTTTTTTTTTGTGAAAATAAAAAGCTACTAATAATAATTGCGGACAAATAGAATGCATTTTTTTAAGTAAATTTTCCCCTTTATTTTTCAGATTGTAAATTTTAATACTGTCAAAATACTGTCCCCTCGAATATTCAGCTTATTTTTTTTTGAGACGGTCTTAATATTATTATCTTTTTTTTAAATCACAAGCCACACAAGGCCGCATGCTATCTGCCCGAACCTTTACGTTTTAATCTCTCAATTGTGTATATATATATATATATATATATATTTAAACCCACGCATTTAGCGACTATTAATGAACGCGACCAACTAATCTGGATTGGACAAAACGTTTTTTTTTTTTAAAAGCCACCCACACTAATCTGTGCGCTCAAATCTTAGAAACAATGTTTATGTACGTTAAGCTAATCTAGATTTCACTAAATGCAAAATAAACTACTAGGTATGTATGTAACCTACTTCGATTGAATGGTGAAACGAATAAAATGGAAAAGTATTTTAATTTGTTTTAAACGCGAGCACCGGAATCGCAACCAAACAGCCACGTCCAACCCAGTCGATCTTCGAATGTAAAGCCAAGCTTAGTCTTTCCAGTCCTTCTTGATTTCGAAGCTCCACTCCCACTGGAGGTGGACGTTCTTGTCGTCGTCGGTGAAGAGGCTGTTGACGCTGTACGACCCTCGCGCCATCATCCCGGAAGGTGCATCCTCGGGGGGCGTTGTGTAAGACTGAATCTCAGTTTTGGGGGGATAGGAGCCGACCATATGAGTCATCTTGTCAACTGGGGAAAGAAAGAAAAAGGTTATATTTTATTAAATACTTTGAAGAAAAAAACAGTTGTTTTTTTACAACGTAAACATGCATCGTCCGCCTTGTATATAACTATAATAACTAGTGGTCTCCCAGTAGTCGAAATTCGACTATAATTAATTGAAATTATAAGTTTGTACAATATTATGATTCTATTGTCAAAGACTGTAATCACAGATTTCGCCAAGACTACACTTTAGACAAATATTAATAAATACAAACAATATTTAACCTGTTCTCAATTTGACCACAGACTACAAGCAATTAGAAAAGTTTGACAATGAACAAATAGTATGCATACGTGTGTGTTAAATACACGGTTGTGTGTGTAATGTTTTTTTTTAATTGATTTAATGTATTTTTTAATCATAATTTAAAAAATATATTAGCATTCTGCACTCTTCCTCAATATTCTCTATAAGTGTGGGAAATTTCATACTCCTCCGTCCCCGCAAATTTCGTAGAAAGGGGTACAAAGTTTTTGGTTTACGTATTAATATATAGATATAAAATAATATATAATAATATAACAACAGCTTGACTCACACACGAGATGAACATACAGTCAAAACCGTTTACTGCGACATCGTTTAATACAACATGCCGGTTATAATAACCAAGACCAAAGGTCCCGGCTGAATGCCATATGACCGCCTTATTAAAAATATTGCTTTCTACGACATTGGTAATAACGACATACCTCATAAAACGACCAAATTTAACTAATACTTCGGAGAATTAGATCTGTTAGAACGACCGGCTAAGCTGTATTGTAAACAATTTGAATAGGTATCCACATTTGTCTTCAATGGCTATTAAAATCAGAAAAGAAAACAATAGGATTTAGTTTAGTGTAGGGTCTTTTCTAATTCTTAGAAACAAAACACGTGCATGCGGTAGTCAAAGCCCGCTTCTTCATATCTCTTCAGTTAGTTTGTTATTTATCTATACACAAGACGCACCAAAACTTTGTGGAGTTATTCGTGAAACTTTCAAAATGTCGCAAAGAAAAAGAAAACAAATTAATATTGAAGAAAAATCGCGTATTATGTAAATATATTTTTCCAATAATTCCCTATCGATTTGTTTGTACTTGCACGATACACATTAAGCATCACCGGTTGTTACGACTATAGGTTTTTACGACTGAATATGAGCAGTCCCTTCGATGTCGTTATAACAGATTTTGACTGTATATCATTCCTTATGTGTTAGAGTGAAATACAAAAAGTTATAAAATAAATCTATCTCTGACCTTTAATTTTCTCCTCCTCTTAATTTTCTCCTTTAATTTAAAAGGTTTAGTACTCAAGTTAAAAGTTAAGTTTGACATCTATACGAACGAATGTAATGGAATCATTAAATTATACATACGGTTACCAAACGTATTTAGATGTGGTAGGATGTATTGTGAGTCCGCGTGGGTGGGTACCACCTCCCTGCCTATTTCTGCCGTGAAGCAGTAATGCGTTTCGGTTTGAAGGGCGGGGCAGCCGGGGCAACTGTTAAACCTTAGAACTCATGTCTCAAGGTTGGTGGCGGCATTTACGTTGTAATTGTCTATGGGCTCCGGTAATACTTAACACCAGATGGGCCATGAGCTCGTCCACCACAAAACATTTCAATGTACAAAATCGATATGAAACGTATTAAGCTTGGAAACGAGTTAAGCTAAGCCTAAGCTCGGATATTGCTACCATTGCAGTTTCGAATTTTAAAATGTTATAGACGCGAGAACATTGCAAGAATTAAAAATGGAGATCCAAAGAATTAGACAAATAAAAATTTCTTACGATCTACATTTAAATAAGAAAATACAATTACATTACAACAGTTAAGTGTTTTTTTTTTCTATTCTATTTGTCAACCGATTATTTTTAAGTTATTATTTAAGATATTTTTTAATATATTTTTATGATTAGTATTTATTTATTTTTTGAATATTATGGCCTGGTTACTAGACCTTTAAGCCAATTTAGTATCTATCGACGAGTCTTAGTGTGACCAGTACTTTCTTTAGGAATATTATATATTACAAAAATTACATAAAAAAACAAAAGAGAAATGTATGTATATTAAATAAAATTAAAAGGAAATCTTAAGGTTATAGGGATGAAGATCCAAATTCCATTATTGGGCTAGCATTAGTATACGGAATTACTAGTATTTAAACAAGCAATACAAAGTTAAGCATACGGTCAAAAGTATTTAGCAGATAATAATATGATGATAATCATAAAATATATTTTTTTCTTATTAGATGTTTTTAACTGTTGTCATAGTAATTTCTTCCGTTTCGCGATTCGTAGAAACATAGTTAAAACTACATTCTAATATGGAAGACGCGCGCGACATTTATTAGAGTTAATCTTAATGTGCGGAGACATCCATGGGGGCGAAAAAAATTCAACGCAAAACAACTTTACTGGTGGTAGGACCTCTTGTGAGTCCGCACGGGCAGGTACCACCACCCTGCCTATTTCTGCCGTGAAGCAGTAATGCGTTTCGGTTTGAAGGCTGGGGCAGCCGCTGTAATTATACTGAGACTTTAGAACTTATATCTCAAGGTAGGTGGCGTCATTTACGTTGTAGATTTCTATGAACTCCGGTAACCGCTTAACACCAGGTGGGCTGTGAACTCGTCCATCCATCTAAGCAATAAAAAAAAAGTATGAATTAATATTGTGCACGCGATATTGAACCGTAAATATAGTTCTAATTACTATCATTTTAGTATTAATTTAATGTGTGTGTGTGCGTGTGTGTGTTATATTAAATAAATATTCATCAGGTGTATAGCGTGTAGACGTTAACATTGAATACAATGCGACAATGAAGTGCGGTGCCACAATCGAGCAACGATCTTTGAATGCAAATCATACTTACCGGGCACTGCGTAGGCGCGCGTGGAAAAAAACACAAACCATACAATTAGATTAATTTCTTATTTTATTAATTAACAGTTTCTTCCCTACCTATTCGCTGGTAGCCTATGACGGGTAGGTGAGCTCAAGGGCTCAACCTGAGATAATTTACTAACACTAGCCCTAAATTTTTTTCCTACTTAAGCTGATGGTCTAGAGAGACCATATCAGCGTAACCTTAACTAGTAGGTGAGCTCACGGGGCTAAAACCTGACGATGTTGCTAACACGAACCCTAGCAAGAGCAGTAATTCGCAGAATCTACCACCGGCTCGGAAACGCGGCCCACTGAGAAGATCCGGCGAGAAACTCAGTGGGCTCTGTCTATGGGTTAATCTTTGATAAAAACCTTTACAGCGATTCTGGGTAGCGAGGGTAAGATAAATAAAAAGGGAAACAGTATTGTAAAAATAATATCACGATGTGGCATTTATGTCATAACATCAACTTACTTCGACTTAATATCTCAAGTGAAGAATTGACTTATTATGGTCCACCTTTTCCCTGATTCTAAGCAGAGGAAAACCTCATAGTATATTTAGTATAAAAACATGAAACGCATTATATATAATTGATTACCATACTTTAATATAGTATAAAAAGAAAAACAATATTGTCAAATCTACACAAAATTAACTCTAAATTTCCTAGAATCTAAATAGTCTTATCTTAATTAATTACGATTAAGCTTTGTTCCATTAGTCAGAGAATCTTTAAACAGATCCATCGAATAATGCATTTTAATTACAGTTTTTTTTCGTCGTATCATTGACATTATCATTATCATAATTTATAAAACATAGTTAACTTAAAAAACCAAACATAAAAAAAAACTATTAAAAAGAATCACCCTGTATTATATGTCATTTTAAAAATAATACACATACACATCATAAAACTTCTAACGAAGTAACTAATCATTCGATTGACGTAATATTATTCGAACTAGCAATCATTTAACATCTTGATTACCGCGAAAGGATATGTTCTCGGAACATTACCCTTTCGTTATTGAAGCATCGATTAATCAGACTAATTATATGTTATTTTAAAAATAATATACATCATAAAACTTCTCATGAAGTAACCAATCATTCGATTGACGTAATAATATTCGAACTAGCACTCATTTAACATCTTGATTACCGCGAAAGGATATGTTCTCGGAACATTACCCTTTCGTTATTGAAGCATCGATTAATTAGACTAATTATATGTTATTTTAAAAATAATACACATCATAAAACTTCTTATGAAGTAACCAATCATTCGATTGACGTAATATTATTCGAACTAGCAATCATTTAACATCTTGATTACCGCGAAAGGATATGTTCTCGGAACATTACCCTTTCGTTATTGAAGCATCGATTAATCAGACTAATTGAAACATGGCGGTCGTTTATTTCACAATCAACAAAATATACAGGAAATTTAACCACTGAAACCGTGTTTCAAATAGATTCTACCGCAACCTCGATGACTCGATCATTTTTATTAATAGAATAACATTAATTATTAATGTTACTTATCATTTCGTATGTCAATGGTAGTTTTACGAAAAAAATTTTTCATTAAGTATAGTTGTGATATTTTATCACACACAAAGTGGAGGAATTTAAGTAGGAGAGCAGACTATGGCATTAGACCAGAGAAAGTTATGAAGAAGAATTAGCTGTGAAATCTTACATTCCCGATCCTGTGGACCGAATGGTAAACTGTCGACGTCGTCCAAAACACATCATTACGGATCCTCCCGATCCACTAACGGTGCTTTTAGTCTTTTAGGCACCTCAAGCACCGGTCAACGTTCCGTAAATTAACACACAGACGGGTCGCATTTCCCATCCGGTGGTAGATTCTGCGAGGCACGGCTCTTGCTAGGGTTCGTATTAGCAACAACGTCAGGTATGAGTCCCGTGAGCTCACCTACTAGTTCGGTGAACCTAGAATAACCCCTCAAGGTTACTAGAATAGGTAGGGGAAAAAATAATGTGAAATTTTGCTTACCTGGAACGCCCAGTCTGTAGGTCTTCTGCACGTACTTCAGACCGTGCACGATCTCGCGCTGCACGATAAAATCGATCCTTATTCGGTATTGTACACCCTCCTTTATCACGAATACCTGGAAACGAGTAATCTATATATTAATACGTGAAGCAAAAACCTTGTACCCCTTTTTACGAAAATTGCGCGGACGGAAGAGTATGAAAATTCCCACACTTATAGAGACTATAAAGAAGGAGTGCAGAATGCTATTTTTTTTTAATTATGCATAAAAAATACACTCAATCATTAAAAAAAACATTACACACACTACTACCATGTATTTGACACAATAGGTACATAAATTATACTCTTTGTTTATTCTCAAGCTTTTGTTATTGTCTATAGTTTGTGGTCAAATTGAGAATAGATTAACACTATTTGTCTATAGTGTAGTCTTGGTAAAATGCGTGATCATAAAGTATTTGACAATAGAACCTTGAATGATAATGCTCAAACTTATAATTTCAATTAATTATGGTCGAATTTCCACCGCTGGGGAACTGCTAGTACAGTTAAAACAAAAACAACACGTGACGTGTAGTTAGAATTGATGACAGATAGCTGATAACTATCTGTCATCAATTAAGACCAACCATCCATTAAGAGAGATACAAGATACTTCCTATATTCTCTAAAATGATTTCTGTAAGACTTGAAAAGACTTGTAAGACGTGTCCTTAGATTATGATTAATCTATATATTCCCGATCGGTCTCTCTTAATGGATGGTCGGCTTAACTAGTATTATGTGGCTACCGAATCTATTGGATGTAAACATAACGACCCTCTTTGACATCTGCCTGATTTTTAGCTGTAGGCAGCGGCCTGGCTCTGCCCCTGGCATTGCTGAGGTCCATGGGCGACGGTAACCACTCACCATCAGGTGGGCCGTATGCTCGTCTGCCTACAAGGGTAATAAAAAAATACCTTCTTTATCGCTGGCAGCCTAAGAGTATTCCAGATACGCTCGGACATATAGGTGAGCCCGCGGTGCTCAAATTGAGAGAAATACTAACACTGGCCCTAGCAAGAGCAGAGCCTCGCTGAATCTACCTCATCGGAATCGCGACCCACTGAGATCCGGCGAGAAACTCAGTGGGTCACCTCGAGACACTACGTCGAAGTCTCAATTGTATTATATGACGTCTTCAAACGTGGAAATAGATAGCGAGCCCTCACAATCTTCGCCCAAAAGTTACACGATGAATTTATGTGTACTAGTGCTCATCAAGAGACAAGACAAATAAATGGAAGAAAGATCGTGCTTGCGAAGGTGATACAAAAGGGTGGTCCCTCAACTCTCGGCAGTGAGGAAAACGACGCAAGGAGAATGAGCTCTTCAAATGACTGTCGATTATAATCTTCTCTACACGATTCAGATACCTTTTATGTATTACATGTTCTATTTCGTTATATTAATGTGGAGGTATACGACAAAGGGAATATCTTCCACCGAGCGAGTGTAATTGCTCAGTAATGATCTTAATCTTCTTCTTTTCTCCACCTTATCCCACTAAGTGGGGTCGGCACAGCAAATTTTTCTCTTCCATTCTATTCTTACAGCCGTCATATTAACATTCACTCCTCTCTCTCTATCTCATATCGTCATTCACGCACTCCATCCATGTATTCTTCGGTCGACCTCTTCCCCCTCTACCTTCTACTACCATTTCCATACATCTCCTAGTGAGATGCATCTTCTCTCTACGCATCACATGTCTATTTGCTCACTAATGTAATGTGGTGTAATTTCGACGGTCCTAATGTTATTGTTCGGAACTTGTATATATTCAAGCTTATCTGGAAAATGTCGTAAGCGAAATTCATGCGTCATTCATCTGTCAATTATTCTGTCTGTTCAGCGAAATTCATCTGTCAATTATTTTGCGTCGTATGATGGCTACACGCCACATTAACAAAAATATGAGGAAAAAACTGATTTAAATAATAATAAAAATCATTAATAGCTAATGTATCGAATAAAAACGCAAAAATTAGTAGAATAACGACACGAGGAAAACGATAGTAAGCTATTTCGTGCTTGGCATATTTATAAATAGATAAATTTATTATTTATGAAGCAGAATGGTACTAACAGCAGCAGTCCTAGCTAACAAAAAATACCTACAGACACAACTCACTGAGTTTCTCGTCGGATCTGCTCAGTGGTTCGCGATTTCGATCCGCTGATAGATTCTGCGATACATTGCTCTTTCTAGGGCTAATGCTAACAATTATCGAGCACGTGAGCTTACCTCTAGCGTAGTTGGATTATCATCTTAACCTACCAACGATTAAGTAGAAAAAAATGAAAAAACCTTCTTTGTTCAAATAAAAAAATAAAGTTGCCGGATATTGAGAAAAGGCGACTGAACTTTTAGAATATCACGACTAATTTGAAAATAGAGATCAAAAGGAATCGACAGATGGTCAATTTGACGTATTGAAGGTTATTTTAGTGATATGTGTGTGTGTGTGTGCGTGGAGAAACGTTACACGATATTTTGCGTATTATGAATCGACACAGACACTCCATGTTGTATTTGAGTCGTCTATTATCAAAGCCGGCAATGTGACTTTTGGACAATTATTGGTAAATCAGAAAAACGAATTATTGAGGCTTGGGAGGAATCGCATAATGCCCTTGGGGTATTCTGCGACTTATCTAAAGCTTTTGATTGTGTTGAGCATAATACATTGTTGAGGAAATTACACCATTATGGTATTAGGGGCGTTTCATTAGAACTTATTAAATCTTATTTATCCGGAAGAATCCAAAAGGTAGACGTTAAAGGAAAGAGATCTTCCGGTGTCTTACTTAATATGGGTGTTCCTCAGGGTTCCATATTGGGTCCCTTCTTATTTCTTGTGTATATCAATGATTTACCAAAGTTTATTGAAACCCGTCACGAGGTCGTATTATTCGCTGATGATACATCCTTATTGTTTAAAATTAAACGACAATTGGAAGATTATGACGATGTGAATGATGCTATCTCGCGCGTGGTACATTGGTTTAGTGTTAATAATCTGTTATTAAATAACAAAAAAACAAAATGTATAAAATTTACCACACCTAATGTTAGACAAGTAGACACTAATATCATTGTAAGTGGAGAGACACTGGAGCTTGTTGATTCGACAGTTTTTCTTGGTATAACAGTTGATTCCAGGCTGCAGTGGGGTCCTCACATATGCAAGTTAGCGAATAGACTTAGTTCTGCAGCGTTTGCGGTAAAAAAAATACGAACGTATACTGATGAAGATACGGCACGTCTAGTTTATTTCAGTTATTTTCATAGTGTTATGTCCTATGGCATTTTGCTATGGGGCAATGCTGCCGATGTCGAAACGATTTTCATCCTGCAGAAGAGGGCTATTCGTGCTATTTATAATATGCACCCGAGGGAATCCTTGAGGGACAAGTTTAAGGAAATCAAAATTCTAACTTTAGCGTCCCAATACATTTTTGAAAATTTATTGTACGTGCGTAAAAACATTGTAGAATTCCCCAGAGTCTGCGATTTGCATAATGTGAACACTAGGAACAAACATAGGCTTGCGTTGCCGGCGGCTCGAATTAAGAAAATAAGCAACTCTTTCAGGGGGCTGGGTGTACAACTTTTCAACAAGATCCCACAAAACGTTCAACTACTACCTGTTCATAGATTTAAGAAAACTGTCAAGGAACGTTTGTGCAACAAGGCATATTATAAAGTTAAGGATTTTTTACTAGATGGCACTACGTGGGAATGAGGCGTTCGCTCCTGGCCTTTTCATTTTCCATTATTATTATTATTTATTTGAATTGTATTTTTTTGACTTGTTTTTGTATATTGTAAATATGTTTTCTTGTTTAAAAAAAGAAAATAGTTGAGGAAATACAAAAAAAAAAAAAAAGCCCGCTGAGTTTGTTTCGCCGGTTCTTCTCAGGACTGTGGCTTTTTTTGGAACCGGTGGTAGAGTTAACATTTTCTTTTACATTTTGACATTCAACAAGTGTGTTTTTGATGACATCCAAGTTGAAATAAATGATTTTGAATTTGAATTTGAATTGACATTGGCAGTCACAAAACTCTTCTGAACGACATCTTAGATAAATAACAGGTTAAGTATTAACCTTTATTTAATGCAGGTTTTGAACCATATTCTTTGAAGGAGACGATTATATTCAAATCAATCTGTATTGACATATCAATAACATTTTTTTGTCCAAATGCACAGATTGCCACCTTTGATAATAGACGACTCATTTGTGAATATCTAATTTTGTATTACGCATCGACGATCGAAAATCTATTTGATTGCGTATTAATACGCAACATTTGTAATTAAAGGTCCGCTTTATTTGGTCTTAGCATCAACAGTTCGATGTTTTTAATTGAACTACAATTAGGTTGACTTCATTTATATGTTATGTTTGTCTATCAAAGCTTGTGATTAATTTATGTATATATTTTAATGACGATTGTGTTTAACATTTCATAATGCCACAGATGGGTCTCTAGTATTTAGACCAATCTGATTATGGTTGCAACCATGAGTTGCAGAGGGAGGAAATTAACTCAGGAGATTTGGGGACACACGGGCCGATCCCCATATACGAATTTGACAATTTATCGAAGGAAACGCGATTAGTGAAATTGTGTCAATTGTTTTATTTTGTTCATTTAGTTTATTCGCGTTTAAATGTGTAATAACGGTGGTTTGTTAATTTTTCCTTAATTTTAAAAATTAAATCACCTGTAAAGTTGCAAATATATCGCCTAAACGAAATAATAGCCTTTCACCTCTCGACCTTATTACGTATTGTTACTTCGTACATATCAATACTCCATTCCGTTTACTAATTACTGGTGGTAGGACCTCTTGTGAGTCCGGACGGGTAGGTACCACCACCCCGCCCTTCTCTTCCGTGCAGCAGTAATGCGTTTCGGTTTGTAGGGTGGAGCGGCCGTTGTAACTATACTGATATACCTTAGAACTTATATCTCAAGGTGGGTGGCTCATTTACGTTGTAGATGTCTATGGGTTCCAGTAACCACCTAACACCAGGTGGGTTGTGAACTCGTCCACACATCTAAGCAATAAAATAAAATAAATGTTTTATAAGCTATCCAGAAGGAGGGTTTCTGTTGTATGTTAGTCCTTTATGTGTTCCTAAGTCAATCGTCGGATAGCTTTTAAATTGACCACGCCAAAACATTTAAATTTTCAATCATATCGATATCGATATCATCGATCGACTTCCGAATCAATCATATCGATATAATCGATCGACTTCCATAACGCAGCTCACTTTAATCATACGATACATTTAAAAATCAAAACAGCCAAGTGTGTACCTGATCAAACATCTCATGTTAGATAACTTGGCCCATAGCCAAACTCGAACCCTCTCTAAATGCGCGCTCATGACTCGAATATTGCACCTGTCTCGTGGGCTAATTTATTCACTTCACAGACCGATGGACAATCTCGTGATGCGATTTACCGAATGACATATTTAATGATTCAAATGATTGATATACGAATGACTAATTGTTATATTTATGGTGACTTAGCAATAAAGCATATATTGTTAATTTTGTCTTTATAATGTGTGTGGTGAATTTCTTCATTAGGACTATTTCTAGAAACTAGAGGTCCCGCAGTAGTCGAAATTCGACTATAATTAATTGGAATTGTAAGTTTGTACACTATTATGATTGTATTTTATACTTCTATAATCACAAATTTCGCCAAGACTACACTATAAAAAATATTAACAAAGACAAACAATATTTAATCTATTCTCAATTTGACAACAGACGTCAGGAACAAAAGTTTGACAATAAATAGTATGCATGCGTGTGTGCGTCAAATACATGGTATGTAGTGTGTGTAATGTTTTCTTTATTGATTTAATGTATCTTTTATGCGTTATTTTAAAAAAATATTGGCATTGTGCACTTCTTCTCTATATTCTCTATAAGTGTGCAAAATTTCATACTCCTCCGTCCGTTCAATTTTCGTAAAAAGGGATACAAAGTTTTTGCTTCACCTATTAATATATAGATGATACATAAATATACGTCCCGATTTTAGACTACTCCCAATTTGTCAAATGTGTGAAGGATATCCTATTTAACAATGGCTAGTCTATACTAATATTATAAAGAGGAAAGATTTGTTTGTTTGTTTGTTTCTAATAGGCTCCGAAACTACTGGACCGATTTGAAAAATTCTTTTTCCATTAGAAGCCGACATTGTCCCTGATGAACATAGGCTACTTTTTTTTAATTTTTTTTTTCCAAAAAAATAAAATAAAAAAAAATTAAAAAAAAGAGGAAAAAATTTAGAGGAGGAAAAATTTAAATTTATTTAGGAGAGAGATTAAAAAAAATTATGAAATTGGTTTCATGTGTGTTTTAATGTTTCCGAAGCGAAGCGAGGGCGGGTCGCTAGTTATTAACATAATGTTTGTGTTGGTTGTATTGTTGTCTACTTATGTGGATACCGTTTTTTTTTTCCTGGAACTCTTAATTTTATTTTTATTTGTGATTTTTAATTTATATTTGTAATTTTGTTTTCAATAGCCAAAACTATGTACATTAATACGGGTTTGCTGAGTACACATATACCAAAAGATTGCAATCCAGATTAGATATAGGTACTACTTGTAAGATTTAGCTAATATGTACTGTAATGATTGTAATTTGTCTTGTGCATAAAAAAAAATTATTCACACACAAGGAATTTTTTAGACGATATAGAGCTCAATATTCATTTAAAAGATAGACCGTTCAGGACTTATTATGTCTACGCATTCAAGGTCACGTTCTACCTCGAAATCCATATATTGGCTATATGAATAATGCAAACTTGAGAGATAACATCGAAGTGTCAGTTATTGCGCAGTTTGTCTTGTGCAGTTTCGATGCAGATACGACAGACGAGATACCGTGCCCTCTAACATAGTGTTAGGCCGGTAAGGGTAACGCCATCTATCGCCGAATAGTCGAACGAATATCGAAGGACCTAGTAGCACCTAGAACGCGAGAAGTATAAGGTCATCTGTTGTCAAATAGCGGAAACACAATACTAGAGATGTGTGGAATATTCTCGATAATTCTAGGGATGAAGTATCGACTATTAAAACGTTGCAGAGATGGCATGCAGTCCGTCATTAATCGGAACTATTCGAAGCGAAACAGCGAAATGATCACCTGAAGCGAAGCGGAACAAGCGAATTGAGAGTTCTAGTGTTTGTTGAGTGTTTTAGGTGTTCTAAGTGTTGAATACAGTTTTTATGTTTTACTTCGGTGGAATTTTATTTATCCCGAACCCCAGCGCGTAACAGTAGCTACAAACATACGCAAATAAACATACCATAGTTTGCTCTATGTGGGAATCGAACCCAAGACCCTCGGCGCCATAGTCAGAACTCTAATTACTCAACCATCGAGTCAATTAAATAAAGAAACTTACACAAAGAAATAATACTTTTTAAACTTAATTGTATTCCGCTTAAAGAAATTAGACATATCGTGTATTATGTATAGAACTTTACATGGAGACAGACACTCACGAAAAAATATGTAATCACAGATGCCAACATTGGGATGCCACGATTATGGGAGCCCATATGTTTGTAAGGTAAATTAGATACAGGTAGGTATTGATAAACGATTTTAACAGTTGAATGTTTTATCAAACTATTGTAGTAACTTGAGATGCAAATCCGAAATGATTGAAAAAAATTGTTGGCATTGAAATAAATTTTGGGCATGATGCATTAAGAGATACTTTGTGCAACACAATTGTCTTTTTTTTTCCTCTAAGCAATCGTTGGCAGCATATGGGGCTATTACAACCACGCGCTGACCGGTAGGTGGGCTCACGGGTTCAACCTAAGAGAATTCCTAACACTAGCCCTAGCAAGAAATCGATATTGCGACTCACTAAGAAGAGCCGGCGAAAAACCGACTGAGTTGTTATCTATGGGCTAGTTCGGAAGTCGAGCTCTCGTCGTAATTGAAGAGGACGGTGTCCGGTGTCTTTTCTACATTATACACATAATATACCTATTTTGTATAAATAAAACCAAAGATTAAAAAAAAACATATGAATTAATATTATCTATATATTAATACTTGAAGCAAAAACGTTGTACACCTTTTTACGAAAATTACGCGGACGGAGGAGTATGAAATTTCTCACACTTATAGAGAATATATAGAAGAGGTACAGAATGTTAATATTTATTTAAATTATGCATGAAAAATATATTAAATCAATATTAAAAAAAACATTACACACACTGCCTTCCATGTATTTGACACAACACGCATGCATACTATTTGTTTATTGTCAAACTTTTCTTATTGCTTATATAGTCTGTGGTCAAATTGAGAATAGATTAAATATTGTTTATCTTTATTAATATTTGTCTAAAGTGTAGTCTAGGCGAAATCTGTGGTTATAGAAATATACTATTATTTGACAATAGAATCATATTAGTGTACAAACTTATAATTTTAATTAACTATAGTCGAATTTCGACTACTAGGGGACTACTAGTTATTATGATTATTTCATAGGGAAACGATTTTCGTAAATGTTTAGCAAGTCTATTATTGTCAGTTTGGATTGCTTCGATGAATCATATTATAACATACGTTAGTCACGCTCAATGAAATATTACAGATAGATCAAACTTGTTCAAAGACCACTTTTTTATATATTTCACACACTACCAACAAATTGATCATGTGAAAATTAAGTGATACAAGCAATATAGCTTAAATAATTGCCGGTTGGGGCACATGATGGTCTTTTGGGGCCAAGCGCCACTCATGATTAGGCGGAAATGAAGCCAGTAACACAAATAGCTGTAACGCTCATATCTCTCAGGGTGATGCGAGAGCTTTGTGAGATCTACCCGATGTCAGACTGATACTGGAGAAAATTAATATCACAGTATGAATTTTAACACCTTTAAAATTTTGGGATGGAACTTTCAATTTTCACAAATATCCTAGCATTGGAACCATACATTTATTACTTCATGCAATTTCTTCTTGTTTTCACGCCGAACCCTGTGGTTGGAGCCCGCACCTAGGGATTGAGCGGAGGACATACTCCGCCGTCTTGACGATCTGTAGATTTTGGGAGCAGACAGCGAACCCAAGGTGTATTTAAGGCCCTACCCATTAAGCGACTCCCATTGTACTCTTTCGCCCGACGATACGATCGAAGATGTAGGTTCCGCGGTTTTTTTTTATGATTAAAGTATTACTGGTGGCCCGGAGGCCTTTCCGGTTTCATCAGGACAGGTGGGCGAGCACGGGCTCAGCCAGGAGGGGTGGGATTACTAACAGCTACCCGAGCGCCTCCGAAGAAGACCTAACAACTCAAGAGTAGCTGCTTCGCGAATGAGAGTTCTGCGGTCAACACTACAAACAGTTTCGCAGCGTCACTCATCCGACGTCCGATCTCTATAGTGCGACAACCCAACTGCCCACCATGGCCCGGGCATGGTGGCTTTCAATTATCATCTTAATATTTACGAAGCTTCGAATATTTTACAGTATTAATGGTCATGAACGACAATCGTCAAATGAATTTCTAATTAGTATCTTTAAAATTAAAAATATATCTCATCAGTCAGTAGTGTCGACAAAAAATTTGGGAGCAACAAATAATTTCTATTTGAAACTTATCATATTTCAAGAACAATACATATATTGTAAATGATGAGATTCTACAGTAAAATAGCACTTTTTTTAATTACTTAATAACGTTCTTGGATCAAAAAGCAAAAATAGATATAATACAACCCGTTGCTAAGAGCCCAATGGAGCTAAAACTTCAATCGGTAACCTTAACACACTATTCATCAGGCGAGCTCTCTTTAATATAGAACACATCACTGACCTGCTTTTTGAGGTCGGTCAAGTCCCCAGTGAGATCCAGCTCGACATCATCGCGCCCAACCACACACAATGCTAGCTTCTTGACTATCACTTTGCGAGGATCATCCGGTTCTGTAACAATTGTATAACATTAACTCAAAACTGTAATTCAATGACTAAAAGGTTTAAGTACTACTACTGTGTGTAATCCAACTTTTATTGGATTAGGGCAGTGCATCCCAAACTTTTTTGTGCCATGCCCCACTGTAACATTTCTGCAATTTTTATGGCCCCATACATAATTTTTAATATTAAAAAAATTATTTGTTCACGTAAGAAACATAAATGATAGGTTTTCGGAAAAAAACACTATGAAATTGTTATCAGAACACAGTAAGTACTATTTCAAAACATAATTAAAAACTGAACATCAAATTCTATATAATTTTAGTTTTAAGAATGTGATGTATAGAGACATATAGAATTACAGATTTCCTATATTGATTTAGTTCAATTGCCCCCCTTAAATATCAAATTGTTTCTTTGGAAAACACTGGGTTAGGGTGTAATCAATAATACATCTTTATCCCTCTTAGTGAATTTTATGACAGCATAGTATTTTTTATTTATTTATTAGAATGCTACCGATTGAATTCAAACAAATAGTGTAGTATTTTTACCTTTTGGTATTTGATATTCAAAATTTTAGTATTAATGGTTTTAACAATAAAATGGAAATCATAAAACCACATAAAACAGATGAAGTAAAAGAAACACTATAAGAGCCTCCCTGCCTATTTCAACCGTGAAGCAGTAATGCGTTTCGGTTTGAAGGGTGGGGCAGCCGTTGTAACTATACTGAGATCTTAGAACTTATATCTCAAGGTGCGTGGCGCATTTACGTTGTGGATGTCTATGGGATCCAGTTACCACTTAACACCAGGTGGGCTGTGAGCTCGTCCACTCATCTAAGCAATAAAAAAAAAAAAAAAAAAGAAGAAACAGAAAAGTCTCTTCCTTTTTTTCCCCCACCTAAGCTGATGGTCTAGGGGACCATATCAGCATCATCTGGTTAGTAGATGAGCTCACGGGGCTCAAACCTGACAATGTTGCTAACACGAACCCTAGCCAGAGCCGTGCTTTGCAGAATATACCACTGGATCGGAAACGCGACCCACTGAGAAGACCCGGCGAGAAACTCAGTGGGTTGTGTCTGTGGGTTAATTTACTCGCCGAGCCCTTCTTCGCAAGCGACGGGTTCTACGAGAACGATAACCGGTGCTTGGGTTACCTAAAAGCACCGTTAGTGAATCAGGAGGAACAAATATGACGTGGTTTTGGGAGACGTCGACATGACATGTTGCAATGTATTTATGGAGATACAATCCAAGATAGGTTGACAGGGACGCGGCCCATTATATGACTAATGCAAAATCTCTATGCAACATAATGGAACAAGCTGCACTGACCCTACATAATGTGGGATAAGCACAAGAAGAATTGGAATGCTACCAACACCACAGAATTTAAAGTGATCTGTTATGGTTCAATCAATTCGAAAATGTCACAGAAATTCACTAAAATATAAACAACACTTGTATTTTCGTTTGACAGCAACTTGATAAGATAATGTCAAAAAATCACTTGTTATCAGTTAGTTGATAAGTACTAAGTTGATAAGAGCAATCAAGAAGCCTAGTTTCAATTTCATATTAAGTTTCTAAATGTTCGGCAATGGGAACATGCTTTAAAGGGAAACCCTTCATTACAGGGATTGTCAGGCTGAGAATACTATCCCTAAACACTACACTCTGAAACCTTAATTTTTCTATAAGAGGTTTTTATTTTATTTTATTTTTACTAATTTAAAAAAAGCAGTATGAGTTACAGCATTCAAGTGCCTCACCAACAATGACCGCGCCTGCTTGGGCTTGTCCAAGCAGTGCTTCCTTGTACTTCCGAAGGGACTCATCCTCTTGGTCAGCAGCAAGGATCTCCTCTATGGTCTTCTCTGGAGGTGGCTTATATGAGGATTTGATTTCTTCTTCCTCTGTATCCTCTTCGGGTGTATGGGCTACTTCAGGTTCTCCAGACATATTCCTAAATTTTAAAGTATTCCAATTGTGTAAGAATCTTATTTAACACATTCTTTAAGCATTCAAGAATTGTATTTTCCACATGAAGGATAGTGATTATGTATAATAGACCTTTTAAACTATAATCAACTTGAAAATAAATAAATTTGGTAGTCTTTATTACCAAACCAAGCTTAATCACTATAATCATTAAGCAAGGATTTAAGTAAATACTTCAACTAAAATTTCAATATAACAGCTATATATGTTTACATTATTAAATATTAAGTATATACAGGATTAAATAAAATTTTGAAAGGATTAAATTAATAAATAACTATTAATTTCAAAAAATTGTAGTTAGTATAGCATGTTGTATTGCGTGCGTCTCTGTGTGTGGGTAATAAATTGTGTATGTGTGCGACATAATTCATTAATATTTAAAACTGAGAAACATCTCTATTGACTTCGTAGTTTTCTATAAAAATATATTATAAAAAAAACATCCATCAGTACGCTGAATTACACAATCTATACGGTTATCGGCGATGCATCGGAAGGTAGCAAAAATGAATCATCCTGCCCCATAACCTAACAACTTTTATATTAAATGTAATGTCGGAATTTTTAATCATAATCAAAATTTAGTTAAACGTTCTTTAAATTTATTCTAAATCATATGAAACACTTAATACATGAGAAGGACAATTAGTTATTTTTTCGTTCAATAGATAATGAGCAAAGTAATCAACGAAATCATGGAAGCGACCAGTGTAAGCGAAAAATCAATTTGTAATTGCGTTGACACAATACATCAAGGAAATTATCAAATGAAATAATGTATCTTCCTGTACATTTCTACGTCCAATATTAAGTGAATATGCGGCTTTGTGATTGCAATTACCTACGCGGTTCAAGCTTATCAAGAAAAATTGTAATACATTTCATACTTACGTTTTTTATAACAAGTCACGAAACTCTTCTTACACAAAACTAATAAACGAAACAAAAAAAAACACTTAAACACCAAATAATTGTAAAATTTGCAACGATTTGCAGTTTCTAAATTCTTTAGACCAAAAAAATGACGGACCACAATGCTTCCGGGCGGTCATCGAACTTTAAAAAATATAATACGGCCAGTAGTGCCAATACACTTTACAAGTGTATTATCTATGCAGGTACAACAGATAATAGTAAACTAATGTCAGTGTCCGAGTTGAAATAGCAATTTTGTTGGTCAGTAATAGCGTGGGCATCAATTATCAGAATGTCGTTTCTCTGCCATAGCTGGTGAGTGAAATACGGCTTTTAAGAAAATTATTGTAGACTAATAGGTAGTTTATAGTTATAGTAAGTTTATTCTTATACTAGACCTCGTTCCAGACTTCGTTCCAAAAGTCTCAGTAAATGACCACCAGACTGAGATTATTTCATCCCATACTATCTCATCTTATCTCATTCCATGTCATTTCGTTTTCATTTCATTTCATAGGTACCATGTTTCATATTCATCAACTTCATTTCATTTCATAATATCATTTTTATATAAAAAAGTTTTAATTAAAATTAAAATAACTTGATCTAAAAGTCTTAGTTGCCAGATCATCAAATGCGTTGAAAATTTAGCATAAATAGTACCTATAGGGGACTTTTTGGCGGGAACGCGAGGAATGAAGTTGCGTGATTTATTTTGTCTAATTAGTGTTTCTTCAGGTTTAAATGTGTAATAACTGTAGCTTATTAACTGTTTAGTATCTGTGAAAGTGCACAAATGTGGGAAAATGAAACAAAGCCACTGAACGTAACTTCTCGGGATCTTCCAAAAAGTTCACAGAAAAAGTTTCAGTAAACGACCACCATTTTACTGAGACTATACTTCATCCTATATCATCTCATCTCATTTCATTTCTTTTTCATTTCACATCATGCCATGTTTCATAATGATCAACTTCATTTTATTTCATTATATCATTTTCATATAAAAAAGTTAGGTACGTATCATTTTATTTAAAATAAGACTTGACCTAAAAGTCTTAGTTCCCAGGTCATAAACTTATTAAGGTTATGTAGCGGGTAGCCCTTGTACCTACATACCGGTAAAATGGGGCGATTAGGGATTGAGAGGCGAATCGGAAAAAAACCGGGAAAATCTTTCGATGCTCAATATAAGTTTTATATTCGTTGCAAAATCTTCCATTTTTTGTAGTTTAATAGTAGAATGTTGAAAGTTCACAAAACAACTCTGAACGTGCATGTTAATAGCTGCTAACTTATAAAAAATCGCGTTTCAAATTAACTTCCTGTGGTGGTAATTATTTTAGTGCTAGAAACTTTGCTCTCTTTGATTTATTTGATAATAATAGAAGACGACTATGATTTATAAACGTTATTTAGTGTTTGAACCAGCATATATATTAAAGGTAAGTCTCAGTTGTTATTGGTTTTAATGTATTTGATTAAATAAAAATACATGTAAAAATCTGTTGTTTTTGGGGATATTGGGGACGTCTTAGGTGAAAATAACAACGAAAAAGAGGTCAATTGGGATGAGAATACGTGAAATGGAAACGACCTAAGTATAAATAGGTACAGGTTTGTAGGGTTGTCTATGTAGTTATAACAATATTTTTTAAATTTGTTGGTAAAAATCTGGTTTATTCGAAGCGAAATTGGAAATAAGTCTTTAGTTGAAATAGATAAGCAATTTAATATAAGTAAGTCGATTTTGCAGAGACATGTAACAAGATCAATGAAATCTCAAGGTGGACAAAAATATCTTAGTAATACATAATAAAATATTTAATATTTGTTCAGAGTAGGGGTATTCATCTGATTAATCCATGGAATAACCGACACACCTATTCTCTTAACCCAGATAGAAATATCAGCACTGTCGATTGCACCTATAATTGAGGTGATGTCTGCCATGTACTTTTGTCAGTTTTTTTATTTTTTTTATTGATGATCACTTTGTTGGTGCAACTAAATAAATTAATTAATTAAAACTATATATAAAAATAAAAGTAGTACCAACCCTAGCAAATTTCTCATTTCGTCGCAATTAACCGCAATTTTCGGGTAAATAGGGATTACACCTATTTTTGCATTTTTTGCTTAAACTGGAATGCTAGTGGCATAATTTTAAATTAGACAACAAAGATGCCCCCAAGACTCAATCATTTTGATCCTTATATAGCATTTTATACATCAACAACTACCTTAAAATTGCTCATAAAGTTGGAATTTGTCCCTAATCGCCCCATTTTACGGTACTACCTGCATTTAGTACCAAAGTATGGAGGGTAGAGATAAGGAGAACCGTCTCATACGGGAGAAGCTTGAAAAAGTGTCCCACTTTCAGCATTAGATAACAATTCAAAAATGCTGCAGAATGGCGCTAGCATAGGAAAGGTTAAATTTAATGACTAGAGTAGTTAGTAACAGTGTTATATATTATATACAAGATCTCACATCTTTACGTAGTCCAAAGTAGTTTAATTTTTTTTATACAATTTGTATTATATAGGTTATCCTAAAATTATTGCTGTGGTAAAACGTGGAGACATCGATTGTATTTTCTTATCAGCTTCAAATAAATATTTTTGTGATTTTGTAGTGCCTACAGTTCTTCCATCCTTTTTATTTCTCTATTTTATTGTAATGACTTTTAGCGCCTTTTTTTAAATTTATCCGGTTGCTACTGTAGCGCCACCCATTAGCAAATTTTGACACTTTTTCACACCCAGAGACAGGTTGGTTCTCTTTACCCCTACCCTACCCTCCATATACCAATTACCAATAGAAACAAATAATTTGGTACAAAATTTGCAAATTTTGATAAAAATAACATTATTTAATATTTAATTACGTATTTTTTTGTACGTTGTTTATATATCACAAAACCACACAGTTGCCGAATAATTACATTCACTAATTTTCTATTGAACCAAATGTAAAAAGCTTAAAAGTTTTTTTTTTTAATTTACGTTAAATAAAACAAATTTGTGTATGTTTAACAAACTATTGAATATCCGAATAGGTAACTAATATGTAATTTGAGTGAAATAGTTCAATAATAAATTAAATAAACGTATGCAAGGTCAGTTTAATTTAAAAGGATGTTAGGTACAAGGGCACTATTCCTTCAGATAGCTCTAAAACATGGAAAATTTACAAGAACGTGTTCAAACGGAAAATCGGTTAACGACGACGAAAAAGAGAGGGAACTAGAACGTTTAGCAAAAGATGTAAGTTACGTAACATTCACTAAAATATAATTTTCATTTATTTGTATTATAAATCTTTTCAGTTAATTATTAAAAACAGTTTTACGTTATTTAAAATGAGATTATGTACATAATTTCGAATAATTCGTAAATTAACCAAAAATATCTGAAAACTGTTAGCTAGTACACCCAAAACACTCATCGCATTTAATTTATGTGAAGTAAAATATAAATGTTATGTGAAATCAATTAAAATATATAAATAATTTTAGGTTTTCTATTAAATATATTAAAAGGTTTAAATAAAATTTGTTACACATTATAATTCAGTAAAAAAACTAATAAAATAACATATTAATAGTGTCTATGGTATTTATTATTATAGGCGTCTATTGACGAACCTCCTACCTCATGCTGTCAATCTGGATGCTCCAACTGCGTTTTTATAGTATGGGCCGAGGCTCTTGTCAACAAAATGAACAACTCTGGACCAGAAGTCTGCGAGAAGATCTTAAAGATGGTAGAAGATCCATCTATGAAAGCTTACTTGGAGATGGAGCTTCGCATACGAGGGCTAACTAAAAGATAGAAGTATGATATGTTTATATATTTTACATATCGACGCTTGAAAGGCAAACGTGACTAAGCGACAATACCTGCTTTGTACATAAATGATAAGCAATAACAACATTCAATACGCAAAAAAAAAAAATTTTTAGGTCTATTAAAATCATTTCAATCCTACAGCTAGATTCGTTAAAATATAATTTTTTTCAGGTATATCAACTTTAAATTAGTCTACTGTAAAGTTCACGCATTGTCGCTTAGTCACGTTTGCCTTTCAAGCGTCGATATGTATACCTCAGGTTCATTGAAGTAACAACTTACGCAGGGTGGCTGGCAAGAGCTTGGTGAGAGTAGCTGAGAATTGTGCAAAGTGGTATGCAATTGGAAAGGCCTGTATCAAGCAGTGCACTGCGATAGGCTGATGATGATGAAATTATTAATCTGAACTACCATTTTTTTCTTTAACTATTTAGGATGATCAGTGTATTTAATTGCTCAATATTTGGTCCAATAATAGATAGATATTAATTTTTTGTGTGTATTTGTGTTTTCAGCACATACAAAACTAGAAAATCCTAGCTTAGACCCTAGTTTCCAATTCTAGTGACATTTACAATAGTTATTAATTTATTTATTTAATAATTTTTTGTTAATAATGAATTCAAGGTTTCTTAAACTTTCAGGATACTATTATGAATTACTAAAAGCCCGCTCCTCAGAACACAATATGGTAATTGGAACAACTTATTAAAGAAGTGTTTGTGTTGTGTGACTGTGGAATTAATAGAAGGTATGTATCTATTTAGTCAGATTGGTTGACTTATAAATTGATCTCAGAAAATATAATCATCATTTTCAATGTGTTTCTATCACTCATGTTACTCAAAAAATATATTTCCTATGGAACCTCAAGCTGTTTTCATGCCCCTTAAGAGTCATCATGATTTATATGAACAAATGAAGAATTAGAAGGTCAGACTTATTGAATATTCTAAGACTTTTCTAAAGTTCACAAGACTACAAAACTATCCTAATAAACTGATCGTATTTGATTGATTCAATATTAATTATAAATCCAATGATACCGTCACCATAAATACATGAGTCCATACAGAGTAGCTTAGTACATGTTGTTAATGTGTTATCTCCATATTCTGACTGGCAGTTGTCTTCGAACACGACCGTTGGACCTCCCGAAAACGACCCCAGCGGGTCATGATCCCTACCTCAACGATGCCAAAGCTTCCTGAGGAACCTATTGAAAGAAATCGAGTTTGGAGTGGTGTTCCATCCTGGTTAACACTTATATCTGAACTACCTACCACCTAACTTCCCAACTTAAACTAC